TGTATAATATTCATAGCTCAACAACGATTTCTTCTTATACCGCATTAATTCTATATTTTTTCCTCCAAAAAAATACTTAACAATTATTAAATCGTGATAATGCTCTGTGCTTAAAAATCAATTAGAGCCAAACAATTAGACTGAATTCTGTTTATTCTAATTATTGCCGTTAAATCCCGAATTTATTTTAGCAAACAAATATTGTTCGATGACTCCGTCAACATAAATGTATATCCCCCACCAATAAATTCCTTTCCTCTCTTCTTACGTGCTACTTCACGGTAACCGGTAACGTACCAAAGAATATGTTGTGAATTGTCAGTCAGTTACGTGAACCGGTACAGTGTGCCGGTAAAAACACATCTCCGTCGTGAAAGGTAAAACAAGCCACACCCTAAGTGTTACTTCGCCGATTTGATCAATATTATCCTGCGGTATCCTGCGACATGGCATATCTTTGTCGTCATTTCCTAAAAAAGCAAAGTGATACAATCATTGTGATAGGTATTTAGCGACAAGCGAATAGACATAACGCGTTACACACGATGAGATCATCATCACTAACGTGATGTATCTGAAATAAGTCAAGGACATTTCGCATCGCCGGATTACATAGTTTATATGCGTTCATTATGACTGATGAGTTATCATCATTTTAATTATAATTATAATTTATTATAATTAAATTCTATACTTGTAATATAAAAAATTTCATTAAAATCGTAAGTCTTTATTTTCTAAAAATCTCAAAGAAATTAATATCAGTATGAAATGATTAATAATCTAATATTGAGAAATTAAAAATTAAGAAATTTAAAAAGATTACTAAACTTTCGAAGTCACTAAAATAATTTTATCGATAAATTTTTTTTATAAATTTCATTCAAAAAATAAAATGCTGGTAAATAACTGTTTGTGTGTTGAACACTTCATATCTTATTAATACAATATTAAAATGCTTTCAGATAACAAACAAGATGGCAGCTAGTCAATATTATCACGTACAGGTAATTTATGTTAATCTTATAGCGGCATTGAAATTCTTGGAATAATGACTGAGTGCAAGACGAATGACTCACTTTGATTTTTCGATTCTGTTTTCATTTCTTGCCGATAAATGATTTTTATATAAATATTTTTATATAAATTTCTAGTATGTTTCTAAAAAATTTACAAAAGAGCTCTGCAGATATTTGTTTTATCAATTTGGAAATTAATTTTTTTTAAGGAAAATTATTAAAGCGTCACTAATCTTCAAATTACAATAGAAAAAACTTTCAGCAAATTAAATTTGACATAGAAATAAATAATAAAGTTTAATTTTGCATTTAATATCGATTATCCTCTTGTCGATTTAAATGAAACAATTTAAACTAACATTTTATTTATGTTTTCAGTGCACGCCTACTGTGTATCCGGCCGATCCTTTCAATGCTGAGGAAGATGCAAAACTCTTGCGAACCGCTGTGAAGAGTTCCGATAGTCGATGCATCGTCGACGTCCTGGCTCGTCGGGGCATCGTACAGCGGTTGGAGATCTCCGATAAGTTCAAGGCGATGTACGGCAAAGATCTTATTTCCGAGTTGAAGGACGAGTTGTCCGGAAACCTGAAAAAAACCATCTCCGCCTTGATGACGCCTCTTCCCCAGTTTTACGCCAAGGCATTGCACGATGCCATTTCCGGTGCGGGTACCAAGGAAGACGTGCTCATTGAGGTCCTTGTGTCTCTCAGCAATTACGGCATCAAGACCATATCAGCCGTTTACAAAGATCGTAAGTTCCACCAATGCAGTATATTCTTGAAGGCTGAATTTTCGTCGTTCGTCTCTGTTTAGCTTTATTCCCTGTTGTAAAACAGAAAACTTATTTAAGAATTTTATTTAAGAACTTTAAAAATTTTAAAGTTGAAAAATAAAATTTTTTCCCTTCTGCATTAAAGCATAGTATATATATTTTGCATTATCCATACTTCTTTATTATATAATTATTTTATAAACTTTAAATTACATATGCCTCTTAATTTATCTCCTCAGTGTACGACAACGAGCTGGAAGATGATCTCAAGAGTGATACTTCCGGCCATTTTCAGAGGCTTTTGGTGTCATTGTCTTGTGTAAGTAATAGCTAGAAGATATTATCCATTCTGTCAATTCTTCTTTATTTTTTGGTTGTTCAATTTAGGCCGGTAGAGACGAGAATCCTGATGTCGATGTGGAGGCCGCAGTTCAGGATGCCGAGCAACTTTACGCCGCAGGTGAAGGACAATGGGGCACGGACGAGAGCACTTTCAATGCCATTCTGTTGACTAGAAGTTATCCACAATTACGAAGGATCTTCAAGGAATATGAACGCATCGCTGGAAGCAGTTTGGAGGACGCTATTAAACGGGAATTTTCTGGTGCTCTTGAAGATGGTTACTTAGCTCTAGGTATGAAATAATTAAATGTTATTAGCAATTTATTCATTTATCATGCCGTTTCTTTTTCAGCTGTAAATTAAATACTTTGTTCTTCAAAATAATTTATCTTACGTTATTTGTTTTAAAATTTTTCAGTGAGATGCGCTTCTGACAAGACTGCTTATTTCGCGCGAAAACTGTACAAAGCTATGCGCGGACTCGGCACAACCGATTCAACATTAATACGTATAATTGTGGGGCGATCGGAGATCGATTTGGGCGATATTAAAGAGGCTTACGAAAGAATGTACAACAAACCTCTTGCAGAAGCCATCGACGTAAGTAAAATATATTATTTCTTGCAACCGCTAAATTTACTGATAAATTTACACCATTTATTATCGTACACTGTTTATCGGCATATCTATTTTATTTGCTTTTTTTTCCATCATATTTTTTTATTTCCAAGAGCATGGAAAGTCAAAAAAAGATGGAAGCATAATAATTTATATAATAATAGAACTATATATTAAATAATTTGAATCTATTTTCAGCGCATCAATTCTAAGCTCTTAATTCATTTACTTACTTGATAAAATAATGCTTTATCCTTGGTTATATTATGTTACGCTACTGCGCCATAAATAATTATATCATAATTATATCATTTGTGCACTCACATGCGACGCATCCCTTACTTCGCGGTCGATGAAGGCTGCATTTAGTCGCTGAACTAAACAATAATAATAATAATCTATTAACGGACGTACGCTCAACACTTCGTGTAACTTTTCATAAATTTCAGGGCGACTGCTCCGGTGACTACAAGGTGCTCTTGATTAAACTTCTCGGATGAAAATATTTCAATTGTACAACATCCTCTTTTATTGTACGCGGATATTTTATACACATAATGTTTCATTGTACCTGAAACAATCTCAATACATTTAATTCCTTATAAGTATTTTGCTAACTGTTAATGGTGAATATGGCTTTATTCGTGTTATTTATATTTCGCATTTAATTAGAGTAATGCAACGTGTGTATAAAACAAATTATAAAATAACAAAAAATTTGTACTTGGACATTTATGTATATGGATCTCTGAAGATCCATAAAATAAAAATTGATCTGTTAATTGGCACTGTATGCACGAATTAATTACAGTTATTGATTGATGCGAAAATTTATCCTTCATTGTACTAATTCCATTAATCACTCTGCATGCATGCTAATATTATTTTTATACATCTATAAATACATGAATATCGTGATTCGGGATGATATTAGTTTTAAATTTTCTTTTTATATTTACAGAATGACTGCAGCGATGACTTTAAGTGGCTTCTGATCGCGCTATTGAATTAATGAGCTCTAAGAGAATCATTTATATTACTAAAAGCCCAGTCAGATATTTTGCTCGTCAATATGAATGGCAATCATTTAAAAGCATGCAAATGTGACACATACATTTATCTGCAATAAACTTGCAAATCAATTCTCAGCTCATTTCATTGATAACGCGAAAGAATCATTGTTTTTTTTTTTTTTTTAATTGCACTACTGAGTGGAAAAAACTACTGATAGAAATGTAAAATTACAAATAGCATAATTAAATGAGTTATAATAACAAAGAAAGAAGGTAATATTTGAAATAATGAGAATATATAAAATAAATGTATAAAATGTTGAGGATTATAATCAACAATTCTATAATTTGTATAATAAATCTATAAAATTACAAAAAAATTATGTCTACAATAGAAAATAGTTATCAAACAAACATAGAATTGTCTTATACATAAGTGAGCACATCTTAAATGTTTTAATATAAAATATATATTGTGAATATAACACAGAAATAAAAAAAAGTATATATGGTATATGTATAAAAATTTTACATTACTTATTTAAAAATGCTCTATATCATGCTAAAATCTTTCAACCTCTTTTTTAAGAAATAAAGCTATTCATAGCCGTGGATGCCTTGTCACGCATTTTTGTTGATAAAAATCATTTTTATTGATGAAGATATACGGTAGACTTTTACCAGTATAATATTGTACCAAGAATAACAGAAATCCAATAAAAAAATATGAAGAAAAGGAAGACCTCTATTAGCGAATGCGAGGGAAGGGAGCCTTGGCTATAAGCAGCAATCATTTGTTCCTGCCTGTGGCTATCAACAGGTGGGCTAACATTGATAAATAGATTAGAAATGGTATTGTCTATTATGTACTGCATCTTTCTGTGTAATTTTGTGTCAACACAACCTAATTTTATTGAAGAAACAGGTAATTTCAGAACTTTCCCTAAAATCTCAAAACATGCGTGGAACTTGTCAGATTCAATATCTATATCATAAATACGTAAGCAAATCTCGACTTCCAATGCATCAACAATATCCTCTCCTGCACAAATAGGTGGTGGATTTCGAGCTAAAAATATATTAAAATAAAATATAAAATGTATAAATATGAAATTGCGTATCTCTTGATTTTCAATCAAATGTTACCTGAAACTGTCTCGTTAATTATACAAAAATTGTTGAATGTTAACGTGAGTGAAATCCCATAATCATGTTCTAAATAGCTTGCGTTTGCACATACTACATAAAAAAAACAGTAATATTAAATAAATTTTATGGCATTGCATAATTTAATAATATTACTCACATTTTCCATTTAATGAAATTGCATTCCATACAATATATGTACAACATCCACAGTCATAATTTATACATTCGCAACCATCATCATGCGCTGCCATAATAAATTTATCTGAAAAATAGAAAGCATTCTCTCAACTTATATCATTTCATAAAAATATTAAATTATATTTTTTTAAATTTAATTTTTATACGTAATTATAAGATATGAATATAGATATATATAATTATAATATATGAATATACAAAGAATTGTTACTATAATTATTGAAATAATTATTAAAAACTTAAAAAATAATTTGTCTTTTATTTCTTGAAAATAATATTGTATATTAAAATTGTACTTATAAAAATATGTCAATACATTTTACATATACAGGATGTTCATTTGAAAACTTTCCAGCTGATTATCTCGAAAAGTATGAAAGATACAAAAAAAAGCTAAAACACGTGTTCCATGATTTCGAGGGGGAAAGAGAACGGCATTATCAATTTTTTATTTGGAAGGCGTTTTCAACGTAAATCGAAGGTCAAATTTGTTTTTTTAAATGGAAACCTATATTTTTTATTGCAGAATTTTATTCTACACAAAAAAACAAGTAACTTCTATAGGAAACATTTTTTATTTGATCACTATTTTAGGAGATATTTAAGAAAATAGCAAGGCCTAGTTACTGCATAAAATTTTGTCATTTATTATAACAAATGTTCAAAATGTTCTCCGTTGGTTGCTAAACAATAATAAAGACGATTCTCAAATTCTGAACGAACATTTTGGAAGGTATCTGTTGGAATAGCTCTACATCCCTGTACAATTTTTTGACGCAAAGAATTAAATGTAGCAGCAGTTCTACGAGCACACTAATCTTTTTCTCCATGAATAAAAATAATTTTAATTCGTTCTTCTAAAGAATACACCATTTTATAAAGTTTAATTATGATATTCCTTCAGATAATCTCTGGTACAAGTCTCACATTTGACTGAATAGTACACTGTTCTATTGAAAGACATAAAGGAACGGGATTTAACATAACATAAACGATCTGATCAACTTTGTTTTCGAAAGATACGTATAAATATCAACAAGTTGTGTCAAAGTATTGTACAGGAATGTAGAGCTATTTCAACAGATACCTTCCAAAATGTTCGTTCAGAATTTGAGAATCGTCTTTATTATTGTTTAGCAAACAACGGAGAACATTTTGAACATTTGTTATAATAAATGACAAAATTTTATGCAGTAACTAGGCCTTGCTATTTTCTTAAATATCTCCTAAAATAGTGATCGAATAAAAAAATGTTTCCTATAAAAGTTACTTGTTTTTTTGTGTAGAATAAAATTCTGCAATAAAAAATATAGGTTTTCATTTAAAAAAACAAATTTGACCTTCAAATTACGTTGAAAACGCCTTCCAAATAAAAAATTGATAATGCCGTTCTCTTTCCCCCTCGAAATCATGGAACACGTGTTTAACTTTTTTTGTATCTTTCATACTTTTCGAGATAATCAGCTGGAAAGTTTTCAAATAAACATCCTGTATATATATATATGTATATAACAAAAATATACATACTTTTTATACATACCATCTGTATCGATGTTTAAAATTGTGCGATCTGATAACTTTATCACACTTTGTCTTGGTATCTTTTCAGCTTCAACATAGAAGAATAATATAATACTTATAATGCTAATGCAACGTAACTGTTTCATTTTTCTGGTATTATTATCACGATAATTAATTCTCAAATTAAATATCAGAAACACAGTACTTTTCCGCTGCTTGTGCGTAGGATCAATTGGAACCTTTAAGACCTTATCTTTGGGAATCCCACACCACCCCTTACAGAAATAAAATGCCTAACCTGGCCTAATCTGACCTAACCGTTTAATCACCAGTCCTTAATCCACTAGTGTAAAAAAAATCAACTAAATGTCACATTGATGGCATGTTAAATACACAATAAAAAAAAAGTCCTTAGTCCACAGAAACGTTATGCCGAGTTTAAATTCCGGTATGCAATATCTGTAACAAAAGTGATTAGCAATACTTTATGCAGCTAGAATCCTAATAAAACAAATTTTCATAATGAATATTGAATTGTCGTAGAAATAAGATTAGATATTAATTATAATTAGAATTTATTTCAATCGTAAGAAATATTTTTTGATTGTCATATGTTACTTTAATAGTAGAAAATTTATACTTTAAATAAGACATTCATCTCAATTTAAAGAAATACACGTATATAAGAGCAGTATCTTAACCTTGTATAATTACATTCTATTTTCAGTATTATTAAAATAATTTTTTAATTTAAAAATTTAATTAAACCTAATTTTTTACCTTTTTATAAATAACGTGTTTCAAAATAGTGTTGTCATTTTGGATGATTTTTGCAATTTGGTAGTATTCTGAAACTAATCGAAAACAGATTTCACACACAGTAAAAATATATATAAATAAATTTACGTAATCATATCACAAAAAAATTAACCTATACTTTATACGACTAATATAATAATGCAACAATGACGTTCTTTGTATTAAATACGTGATTAGTTAACGCCTAATCTACAGTGTGCTTTTTACGTACTGTTTCTTGCTCTCTTCCTTTCGTATTTTTGCTTTTTATGTGTTTGTTGCATGGAATCAAGAAACACCGTGATTTACAATTTCTCTTTTTTGAATTTTCCGAAGAAAAATATGCCTTTACATAAAGGCAAAAAGGCAGAAAACAACAATCAAAAAGCACATTGTAGATTGGGCTTAAGTGTTCATGTTCGTGACGCTAGTGATGTGGATAGAGCCAAATGAATTTGTGACGCATATCGGGACATATTTAAAGTTCGTGGTTCGTATCTACATATTTGCGCATCATGATAGTTGATTATTAGCAGATTATTAGAAATGACAACGCTACTTTGAAGCAGCTTATTCTATGAAAAGGTAAAAAATAAAGTTCTTATATTACAAATATAAGATAATATGCGATACAAAATGTTACATTATTATAGAAGATTAATATTAATACTGTTCTTTATAATTATATTTTTTTTAATACGAAGTAAATATTTTATTATAGTAGTGTAAATTTCCTGCTATTAGAGAAACATATATTTCTCAGTTATAATTGCAGAAAGTATCCCGGTTGAAATAAATTGGTTATAATAAAACAACATCCGCGACTTCGGGTTTGTAAAAAGGATTTTGATAAAATTATTGAATTAGAAAGAATTATAACAAGAAAATTGAAAAGAAATTTTATGAATTTCTTTTTCAGTCTTAGCTTCTGTAAGTGAAGATTTTTAACATTTTTAAAAATATTCTTAAAATAAATAACCTTCATCCTGGAGTATTATAGAAATTGCGTTACAGAAATGGCGTAAGAATGACGAAGATAGAAAAAGTGAAGGAAAGAGAGAGAAAGAGAGAGCAGAGGGGGGATAAAGATGGGCGGGAAAAGGAAAGGAAATCAGAATATGATAGGATGAACATTTAGAATCGTTGATTGAAGCGATGATCACATACGTGTTGCGTGTAGAACGTAGAAGAGATCAGATTATGAGGGGACGGAGGGTGGAAAGAGAATGAACCGTCAGGAGCAGGAGCAGGAGCAACAGCAGCAACAACAACGACGACGGCGGCAGCAGCGATCACGACGGTGTGACTGCCATCTTGATCGTGACGCGCAACTCAGAGGTCGTGGTCTCCACCAGTGACGAAGCCACTGGAGTTTTGACGTGGCTGCTACGTACCTGCCCGACTGCCCACTCCGATTGCAGCAAACTTGGTGACGAGAAATACGTAACTGGTAAGTACCCCAGCTGGAGAATAATAACAACCGAGCATGGACCACCGCGCTCGCGCTCGGCTCTCACGCACGGCAAAACGGCTCGAGAGCCTGATACGGACGAGCGTTTCCGTTTTCTCGCCGCCGTAACCCGCGCGACGATCCGCTTTTACGTCTGCTGTGCGACGATATGCCGTGAAATATGGCGACCCGACGAGAAACACGCACGTATTTCTCGTCGCTAAGCTAATGGGGGTTACGCGAGCCCTCTGACATTTGTTCACATATGCTCGGTGAACCAGCGATCGCGCTACCAGAGGTGCGTCAGATCGAGGGAAATTCTCGTGCTTCCTCATGCGGCGATTCGCCGCTCTCCACCACCGCGAGTGCCTCGAGTGTTTATTGTTCTCCCGTATTATTTTTAGATCCGCTTATGTAAATGACGCAGTAGCACCATCAGACCTTTCATTGGCGGGAACTTTGAAATGCACGGATAATTTGTACTCTGTTTTTCTTTTTATTTTGATTGTTCCGCGAGAATTTTTTATAAAAAGACGTGTGCAAGCTTTTACATTATTGTTTATTTTTCGCAATTACATTCAATGGGAAACAAAATACAACAAATAACTTTTTAATGCAAAAATTCTGTTGTGTTTAATTAAAAATACATAATAATTTGTGACATTGTTTAATTACATAGATATATTGATAATATATTGTTATATATATTGTTATAGATTTTAAAATTAAATAAAATTAATTTTTTTAAATTTTGTGTATTAGATATACAATGAGTACAATCGATTTGATGTTGCAGAGCTCGTGAGGTAGCCGGGCTATGGAAAGTATGGTCGAGGAAAATGGATCAGCTGTCGATCCGTTGTCCCAGGGTTCCCAGAGCGGCGACGCACCAGCAATTGCAACTTCGGTACAATCTATCGATAGAACGCATCAGCAGCAAACTCACCATCTGGTAGCTTCTACCAGCATTGTGCAACTGACACTACCTACATCAGGAACAACACAGGTATACAGGAGGTTCTCCTGTGTATCTATGTCTGATAATTTGCCTTCCTTTATTTCGAAGCATGCTTATATCATTTGCAATACAATTACAATTTTTTGAAATATAATTGCAATTTAGATTCAATCTTGCATAATGCTGGTTGTACCGTAGGAATATAAAATTTTCTTAAGATTACTTAGTCTCTAGATTATATTACTTATACTTAGAATATTGGGAGTACTTTTCATAGGTATAAGATCTTGAAAGGTATACGTTATGTGTACACATTAGAAGTTTTATATAAATAAGCTGTAACCTTTCTCATAGTAAAGGGAAAATGACATGTACATTATTCCTTCCTATTTATAGCACAAATTATTACACATGATATGTAATATAATATATATATAGTCTATGCAGTAATGTATGCACCAATTTTTGGACATATAAGGAATAATGATCATGTATGTATATATAATTGTAATTATATAGATATAGTTTGAGCAATATAATTTAATTTTTTATAATGTTTTATATAATCTAACACTTGTATGATTTTTATACAGGTGCAATCTGTTATACAACCCAATCAACAGTCTGTAATACAAACTGCGACGAATATACAACCTGTTGCCATCTCCAAAGGAAACGTTATTCTGGTTAGCAAACCCAATTCTGTTATACAAACTGCACAAGGCAGTTTACAAACTCTTCAGGTAAGATTTGTTATATATCGTATGTTTTTTTTTTTTTTTGTAATCTGTTTCAAAACTTCTTTTGCCCAGATATATATCAAGAGATATACACACACATAACATATAATTGAATCTGTACATATTTGAAAAATATAAAATATTTATGTAATAATAAATTAAAAGTTACATAACTTTGCTTTTTGTTAAGGTGGTTGAAACTGCTAGTGATGACAGTTTCTCAGATGAAGACTCACCTAAAAAGAGAAATATTCTTACCAGACGACCATCTTATAGAAAAATTCTCAACGATTTAGGTGGAGGAGAAATTACAGGTAAGATAACATAGTGCTTTTGCTTAAAAAGATTTATTGAAACATGCTTGTAGAAATTTATATCGTACGATAGAAATTTATAAAATATCAAAATTGTAATTTTATACTAGATCGTTAATTTGTGTTACGTAATCTAACTACATCATTCGCGTAATTTGTCTAACAGTTTGTTGTGGATGCATGTTGTAAAAGAAATATTAAAAATAAATAATTGCATTCGCGTATTTTATTCGCGTAAAATGTTTATTAAGAGTGCATGTCAGTTCATACAAATAAATAATATGAATATATGAAATAAATAATGTAGTGACTTACACTTGCACATTTATATTTTAAAATTATGTAAATTTAAAGAATTTTAATCAAAGTTACATAACATTATTGATGTTCTTCCTTCGTTTTTTAATCATATTGTGTATATTAATATAGTTTGTCATATATACTTTTGAAATATATAATGAATATGTGATGTGCTAAAGCTTTTCAGCACTTGGTAGTTTAGATTGCAAGTAAAATAAAAGCTCTTTTAAAGCAGATTAAGAGCGTGATCAGTAAAGGTATGATACATTTTTTATATGCTTTGCGTTGCATATGTAACAGAAGTATGCCATACCAAGCTCGTACAACATTGCGGTAAATTGATTTAAAACAGATGTGGAAGTTCAGATTTATTAAGACCTTAGGAGGATTTGTGTGCAGATTGCTCCTCTGACCATTACCTTAACACTGTTAAGCAAATAACTAGCCAACAAAGCAATTTATAATTGCAAAAAGTGAAACCCTTCTTCGTAAACAGTAAAAAATTAGATAAATAATAGTCCTAAATTATCGTTTACTTAAATTTTAAATAATAATAATTTTGGAAGATTTATCATCAACGAACACATTCACGTCCACCGTGATAATATACTACGAACCACAATATATTACAATTATCAGCTTGTGAAATTATATGTTAATTTAGTTGATCTTATATTACAGAATATATTAAAAGATAAGATCAATTGGTAGTGATATTAGAAATAAATGTCGATATTGAATAAATAAAAAAAGGATACTATAATAATTGAAAATATTGAAATAAAATTCGAAATAGTTATATTTTAGCGGATTTATTCTTCGAAGAAACAAATTTTTTGCATGAAATCGTAGGTCGTATCATCTCGCCCCTGCTCTTGATATACATTCCTATATATTTTCAAATTAATAACTTATAGAAATAAACTTATATGTTACTTATGTTGAGTTCTATGTGAAATAATGAGCCGTTTATGTAAATTGTTTTTTTTTTCTTTTTATCAAGAATTTAATTATTTCTCATTTAATGTTTGAAAACTAATTATCTTACATAAGTGTTTTGAAGTATTTCCTATTTCCTTTTTGTATGAGCTGACTGCACACAGCACAACAATAAATATATACCAATAATCAGCAGCCAGAAAGGAAATAGTTCAACAAATTATGATCATATATGTTACATTTTATTCTTTTTATTCATATCACTGTGTTAAAACTTTACTTTCTGGATGCAAGTACATGCAAATATCTAGAAAAAAAGAAAGCAAAAAACGATACACTATATGTAGAGCGATGCACAAATTAGCGATACCGGTTACGAGCTAATTGTGGGGTTTGGGTTGATTCGGTGTTACAGACGGTCGTTTGCCCCCCTTAGAATCATCTTCCGAGTGTGATTCTAACGTGGACAGTGAAGTGTCTTCCCATTCGCTCCATTACCAAACAGGTTGGTTACTTTATCTTCCGTTTACATATCTTTCCTGGCTGTATTACATTCCACAGGCTGTCCATGTACATACATGTATTCTTCTGCATACCGAAGGAGATGATGTTAGAGGGGTACTTAATTAAAAAAAAAAAAGAAAAGAGATTAGTCCAAGATCCATTCACATTTTCAATTGTCTTCCATCCCTGTGTGTACTGCCTAACGTGATATCTCGTTTCTCACGATACTCGCTTGGTGTGGCATTCTTGCTTATGGGATAATATCGATATATTCGTCATTCGGATCATTCGACATGCGACAAAAGGCGCTGATGTTTTTAAAACATCTTTCGTACGAGATATTGTGAAAACACAAATACGATAAGTGTCATTTATGTCACGCACATGAAATCTTTCTTCAATACAAATGCATCCATCATTTTTAGTGCATTATTGATGCACGGCACATCATTATTTGGATCGTTAATTTTCTTTAAGAACATTACATCCGTTATATTTTTCATATAATTTGTTTTACAGTAATTCCTGCCGGTACTATACAAATTGCGACCCAAGGGGAGGGAGTTCCGGGGCTTCATACATTAACTATGAGCAATGCGGCGACAGCGGGTGGAGCTATAGTGCAGTATGCACAGGGCCAGGACGGTCAATTTTTTGTGCCAGGTGTGCTTTTGCATCATTTCCAAGATATCAGAAAATTTATTTTACTTTATGGATTTTGTTTTTATTAAATTGCAACGTTGAATTAATTGCACGTTGTACATATTGTCAACGTACTATAATAACTTGATGCAATAAAATCTTATATTAATATATTATTCTATACTGTAAGAGTATAATAGCAGAGATTATCATATGAATTCTATGATTTTTAATAATTAATAATTAATTTTTTTAATAATTAATTTTCTAAGTTTTAAGAAATATGGCAAAAAATTTTATCAAGCAAAATAAAGTTAAATTGTTTAGTAAAAAATTGTAAAATTTTGACGTACGCAACGTAAAAATTTTGAAAGTCCAGTTTCTTGCAATGTTCCAGCTTATACAGGTCATGGAGTTGTAGTGGAGGATGCCGCGCGAAAGAGAGAATTAAGGTTGCTGAAGAACAGGTAAACTAAAAATAAACTTTATATAATACATACAAAGAACAATATATATAACAATATATATAAAAATATTATAAAAAATATATAGAAAAATGAAATATCTTTTTGTAAAGAAAAACATTCTTATTTCTATTTTTGATGTGTGCAGAGAAGCGGCGCGTGAATGTAGAAGAAAGAAAAAGGAATATATAAAGTGCTTAGAAAATCGTGTTGCGGTATTGGAAAACAGGAATCAGACGCTAATCGACGAGCTGAAGTCGTTAAAGGAACTATATCAGCAGAAAACCGACTGAGATTGGTGTTTAAAGCCTGCGCGACAGTGTATCAAAACTATTATCCAGTCGAAGAACCTGTACATGTCTTGTTTGTGTACATTATCCTAAATGTTGCTAGGGGTAAGCGATGGTGATGTACATGCATTCTTATAGATAAGCGTTTTTCTGTAACATACTGTATTTAAGTACGAATACGAAGGCTTGTGAAACTTGCTGTTACTAAAGCGGGAAGCCAAAGGTATATGAGACATGGAGACAGCAAACACGTAGGCAAGATTTGGTATATCAGTTTCTATTTTGGATAAATCTAGCCGTTCACTCCGAATTAGCGTGTTCGGAATAAGCTCTACGTACTTGAAAGAAATTTCGACCTCGAACATTTAGATTGTAATAACTTAATATGGTATGGTGTTTGTTTAGCATCATTATTTATCAACCGTTCATAATAGACAAATGTCTGCCTTGCTTCGACGCAATTATTTTTTCTATATATATTTTATATAATCATTGGCTGGTTTAATTCTTTCCGCATGTGAAAGTGTGTTTTTGAGTAGAAATGCAAAGTCTCTTGCCTTCCTGCACGAAAATCTTTCTTTGAGGTGCATCCTGTTAGTTACAACGTTGCAACGTTAGTTAAATTACATACTTGTGACAAAATTTCAAACTATATATAAGTACACTGTGTGTATTAATTAAGCTTTATACAATCGAGTCTTTCTATTCTAAACTCTTTACGGATCTTATTTCAAAGCTTGTCTCACAATCTAAATGATTACACATATATGCTTGTCTTCTTTCATTTTCTTACTTTAATGTGAAAATGTGATAAATGTGAAGTGATGAATGACAAAATAGCAAAACTCATAGCAGATATTTAACAGTACAAATATCACAGAAAATAATTTTTTCATATCAATTTTTGAGAAAATAAAACAATGTAGTCAATTGTTTTCGAAAACGACCTAATTTTTTTCTGTCGTTTTGGGTGATACATTTCATAGATATGATAAATGAAAAAAATTGGTAAAGATTGTCAATATATTTGTGAACGTAACACAAATTATCTTGTATGTTTTTTTTTCGAGTAAATGTTAGTGGAAAATGCGGCAAAGCAAGGCACCTAATACGCCTTTGTCCATTATAAACAGATCTTAATACACGATTTGTTATAAAAATAATGAAACCATTGGTTTCACAAAAAAAAAAAAATAATTGGAAAGTATGCAATGCAATGCTAAAAATGATCTGCTTCTAATATAAACTCGCTTTAAAATTGAATATACTCTTCTACAAAAAAAATCTTGGCATTGTACGTAGAAAACTGTAAAGATAGGTACGTAATAACAATGTTCGAGTCAATGCAATGCAAGAGAAGAAACAGTAAGACGCATCTCTCATTTTCATAATGCCTGCATCGCTTTTCTGTTTGCTGTATAAATGTGCGTACAGAGCGATATTATATCGCTTTTAAAATGAGTAAAATGATCATGTTTTACGTCTCGTCAGAATGATCCGTTAAACGCTGGAGAATACAACTTGTAAAATATGAATGTAATATACATCAGGAGTGCCTTGAAGATTTATGTATACTTGTGGAATACATATACACATGTATGGCGGCAAAAAAATTCGCAACATTTGTGTATGTATGTATATACGTGAAGGAAGTTATGTTGTAGGTAAATATGGGTAGATATATATGATATTTTTAAAGTATATTATTAATATAGTTTTATGTACTTGACACATGCAAACTCTATCACGTGAATTGTATTATTTTTGGGAACTCGTGTTCCCGCGTAATCTCATCATTGTCAAATCGAAACCAATTACTGACACATAATCGGAATTTCGCGCAATGTATTGTGAACAACATGCATGGTTATACCATGAAAAAATAACGATAAAAATCCCAAATAAAGAGCATAATTTTTTTAACAAAAATCGTTGCAAGTTCGTGATGCATCGTGAGTTTTAGTTGCTTTCTTGGCATAAATGATTTTTGAAATTATGCATACGCATTATCATAACAAATACGTCTACTTACGCGTTTTCCGATGCATACAATGATATTTAAATTATTTACCGCAGAAATACGTACCGAAATTTGTATTTAACTGGACACATCCCTTAGAATTTCGTATTTTACTGATTCATCTTAATCTATTAGCTTTGTAATGCTAACATGCATAATGAACATTGTCAATTTATGAAACATTGCTTAAGAGCAAAAAAAAAAAGAAAACAAAATGAAAGAACCATTAGAGATAATAAATGTGCCGTATCCTTTACATGTGCATTTTATTGCTGCCATTGAATTATAAATTTTTGATACGCGTTAAACATTTATTTTGTTTACTGGATTAAAATGCTTTTTACCCTTTTCAAGGGCAATTTCCAATTTATTTCAAATTAAAACTCAGATATGATCAAACGGATTACAGATTATTAGCTTTACAGAAAAATCTAGTGTAACGAAAAAATACTACCCGATTGTGTATTTTCACCTGCTTCTATAGTTTGAAAACAATTCAAATACAATTGAACCAGTTTTTAATCCTGCAATATCTTCACCGGCATCGACCTTTAAATCTTTTTTTCTTCGTGCAATAAAAGTTTCATTAATCTATTTTCTTATAGAAGGTTTGTGTAGGAAAAGAAAAATTTATGTATTATATTTTAACATTTATTATGGAAACACTATATGTACAATCTATTGATTACAGCAATTTTATATAATTAAATATTTTATATGCATGTATTGAAAATTAATGAGACAAAATTAATTTTTAATGAACTATTTATTTAATCTTTTAATTTTGTAATCCTTTAAAATAATAAATTTGCAGCCTAATTCTTACTCCATTGTTCTTACACTTAAAATACAAAATCTGATCTATTAACTGAAAGATATGCAAATTGCCTCTACAACTTTTGACTTGTCTTCATTAAATAAAAAAAATAATTTTTTGGAACATTTGGTATGATTACATACACATTAAAATTTTTTACCAGAATTAGTCTCATTAATTTTTGATGTGGTATATTATATATTTAATACTCCCATATATATCCATGTGCATACATACTTACATCATGTTTTTACCAAATTTTTATTTTTATCCACGTAGATCTTCATTCTTGTATATTCTAATATAAAAAAGTGCAATAAATTAGTCAATTTACCAATATTAATATTTTTCATAAAACCATTAATTTATTTCAGTAGGTGCTGCTTGTAAATATAATCAGAATACAATAAAAATTTGTTAAAAGTTTTATCTTATCTCATAAACATCATAACTCATCATCTTAATTATGTTTCATTAATTTATTTATATACTTATGTAATTTATAATAACGATACTCACCAGTGTTTGGCACATCGTAGATTTTGTCTTGGAATCATAATACTGAAAAAATATATTATAATTAATTTATATGACCAAATTCCATTTCAATAAATATAAATTAATAAAGTGCTTCAGTTGGTAGTGCATGTAAGAATAATCAGAACAGAATAAAATTTTATTCTATCTCATACCTAAGATTTCACATCCTATTGTACATTTATTCATATATTTATGCATGAAACATATGTATAATTTATATGTAAAAAAATGACTCTTACCAGTATTTGATAGGATAAAAGTAGTTTGTCTCGACATCATAATTCTGAAAAAAATATGTTAATGTAATTTATAAGCTTAAAAATTACATTTAAAAAAATATAAATTAACGTAAAATTCCTCAGTTGGTAGTGCATGTATGATTAATCATAATTTCATACTCAATACAATTTCATCCTATTATTTATAGATTTATATATTAAAATGTATATGTGTGGTTCATATACAGAATGGCCACGTTCCAATTAAGCACACTCTTTTATTTCGCAAACCAAATACAGAAGCTATAATAATACGTACATTAAAGCTATAATACATACAATTTAAATTTAATGAGTCAAATTGGATTATATCACAAGCATATATATTAAATGCAACAAATGATTGCAATAGATACACGTGGATTATACGGCTTGACTAATTCGAAAAATGGATTTTTCTTACATTTTACTTTTATTTTAGATAATGGCATAGCTCAACTGCTTCTACCGTGGTAAATCATTAATTATTAAAATTTTTTCATATTATTTTAATCAAGTTTTATTAATTTGCTCACCTTTTATGTAAGTATATTGTTCAATTTTACTCCATAGAATCTCCTGTGTGTCTCGTCCTACGTTGCGCCATGCGATTGTGCGATACAACTATGCATCACTTCCTTCTTCCTTCGTTTCCTTCACTTCGTATCCATTCGTATCAGTGTTCCCAACGGACAAATTACATAGAGCAGTAGTGCAAGCGTTAAGGTACGTTCAGGTAAATTTGCATAATGGTGTAAGAAAATAATGCATAAGAAAATTAATTAATCACTTCTCCCTTATAAATTTATGCCAAACACTGCATCTGATATAAAGTTGCAATGTTTGATAGCGAGAATAAGTGAGAATTAGTTTTTAATGATTTTGGCAATGTGGAACATCACCAACTAAAATCTCTAGAAAATAAATTCTCTTATTGGATATTGAATATCACATATTGACATTAGGCGCAGATAACAAGTTTGTTTATTCTATTTGCACTTTTTGCATTCGAGTCTGCACTAATGAATTTTTTCCCGGAAAATGTAGAAACTGCAATGACTCATTTGATTAAAATTGTAAATGAATAACGAAATGTAGAAATCGTATGAATCGTCGAAATGATACATCTAGTGGTTTTGCAAAATATCGAACAAATACTGTGTATAATTTTTAAATACTTTATTAAGAAAAACTAGTTACATTATATTTTTCCTCTTTTTCTTTTTGTGATGTCTATGGTTTTCATAAATTTTCGTCTTCCGAAAAAGTTGTGGTTGGCAAGTGATGGTGCGCCTAAGGTTTGGTTGAAACAATTGCTGTCGGTGAAAGAACAGTGAAAGAAGACTAGAATACAAACAATTAACTCATACGATCTCTCTACTATTGTCGTACACATATATTAAATAAAAGTTCAATCAAAATTAATGTGAATGAATATTTATCATGTTCAAAGTCAAGATCTGTTTGCGAAATCTTTAAAACCAATTAGTGTTCACGTACTTGCTTCTAAAATCGACGCTTTGTGTGCCAATATTGGGCACATGCAATGGGACAAAGAGAGATTTCTATCTAAAGGTAGTAGTAATATGTTTACATTTTATTTTCATACGAAAGTGAACAAGAAATTTCGACAAAATTGATCACAAACGTGCCTGTTTTCTTCTCGACATCGAGGTTATGTTTTTATCAGAGAATTAATTTATGCTGTGTATGAATTACTCATGTTCATTGTCATTTCACTGATATAATGGTTAGTCTGAATATGTGCAAAGTACAAAGCAATATATTTATTTCAGTTGTAATATAAAAAGTGAAAGTATATTCAGACTTTGAACAGAAAAAGAATAAAGAGAAAAGAGATTATATGCAAAGTGGCGCACATAAAACAAATGTTTATATGTTATGTTCAGATTATACTTAATGTCCTAAATAATACTTATCAGCGAAATATCAGCAGCTTTATAAATATCTTTCTAATTAAGCAATTTATGTTGATATAAATCTATGCTTATTAAGAATTTGTTTGTTAATCTTCTATAAAACTTTATAGGGGCATAAAAATTCATAAGATAAGTTTGTATTATTTAACTCAAAATGTTCAATTCTGTATGTAAATAATAAAAATAAATGTTATTTAAAGTTTGTATATTATATTTGCAATGTAAGACTGTAATGAAATTTATTTAGGAATATAAAAAATAAATTTTATGTATATATATTTTTTAGGCATTCAATATTCTAAAAGATTATTTAAAATTGTTGAGATTATTTCTGGAATATTTTAAACAAAACTTTTGATTACTTCATATTTATTTTATTTATATTTATTTTTTTAGTTATAAATTTTATTTTTTATTTCAGCTAATGCAAAATAAAAGCAAAAACAATGCCTCAAACGACCACTATTGAAACTCTTACCATAACCAGACCACTTAAGGTAAGTTAATAGTTTAATCAACATATATTTTATTAAAAATAAATATCATTTATTATTTATTATGTATTGTTAGTTTGAAGATATATATGTAAGTACTGGATCTTAGTGATTAGAATGTTCAAAGTATATGATCTTGTAAAGCAGAATATTTTATATATTTTTAAACTAAAATTTTTTTACAAACATACAATAGAAAAAATAATCAGAACAATAATAACTGTCATAATACTTAAAACAAATTGTAAAAAGTATAGTTAAATGTAAAAATAAGAATACATATAAGAAAGAATGGAATAATTTTGTGAAATAATGCAGTGATATATTGAGGACAATTGAATAAAAAATTTATTGTAGGAGTATAAAAAGCAGTATAAAAAGTAATAGTTTTAATTTTTATAAACGATTAAATTGTTCACAGAAACAGTAATGTAAAAAAATATAGAAGAATGGTTTTATACGTGACATTTAACTAATAATAAAAATATAATCAACATTTTTTAAAAGTATTTGAAAAAAATAAATTATTTTTACTTATCATACATCGTTAAGAAACAAATAATTGTACAAAGATTTTATTAAAGTTAGAAGCTATTAATAAATAAGAAAGGGACAGAAATATAGGAAGGGGTGGACAAAGAGTATAAGAGAAAAAGAGAGAGAGAGAAAATTAAAATACTGAAAAGAAAGAAAGGGCGAAGAAAGCGAGAGAGCGCAGAGATTGGTACTCGCGCGCACTGCGCCGCGACCTTTAATGGGCGCTGATGGGCGCAGCCTCCCTGGAACCTGGAATCCGATTGCCTCCTCTCAATCCCAGTCGTGTAGAGTCTGTGTTCTCGTTTGAGACATGGTTTGTCTTCTCTTTCTCCCTTTCTTTCTCTCTGTTTTCCGTGCAAAATATACGTATTAGGGTTATTAAAATCGTCCGTACGTCGAAATCGGCTAACTCTAACATTGCCATTGATCTGTGATCCGTCCGCTCCGGAAAACTAGCCCGCACAATATAGGGGTTGCCCTCGTCCGATAACGTTGCAGACCACAGCGCGACGAAAGCCATTGACCCGCGGCGCCCGTTAATCAACCCCTCCACTATGCGAATTCACGCTCGTCGCGCGAAACCCTCGACATACGTTATTTTGCGACGCGCGTATTTCGGTGCTCTTTAAAAAATTGCAATTCCGTCTTTTCCGCATGCCGAGTGCATAGCAGATCGCGGGTGAAAACAGTGGACAATGTCTTATGAGTGCTGCTCTGGAATACCGAAGAGAGCGTCGCCGATTGTTCGTCTTTAAGGACGCGAAGGAGTTTCGTCTCTCGACCGGCTACGAAGTTACTTTCCGTACTAAATTTCAGATTGCGCGTGTTTTTTCACGTTAAATCGCGAATTTTGAAGTAAAATGATTATGTATACGGTCGCTGAGGATCACATGGGCGATAATGAGATCGCGCAGGTATCGTCTGCGAGGCATTTTTTGATTGAGATTTTATCAGAGAATCACGCAGATTGTGCGAGTCAATAATATCTGACAATCGTTGTACTAATCTGACGTCTCTTTCCAGGTGATCGCGTTTATATGTGGGATCATAGTGGTGCTGTTAATGATAATGGGTCTGGCGTCGACCGACTGGTTAATGGCTCTGGGATGGAGACAAGGATTGTTTGCTCATTGCATCGAGGAAGGTGCCCCGACGCCTCTTCCTTTCAACATGCCCGATCCTCCAGGATGTTATCCTGCAAGAGACAGCGGTACTATCCATTTTTTTTATTAAATGTGAAACAAGTTGATACATTATTGTTTTGTATTCTATCCTACAGCTTACATTAAAGCGGCTGCAGCCTTGTGTGTAGTATGCCTCATAACGGACATCGCTGCAACAATACTCACTGGTTTGGGTTTACGCACGAGAGATCACAATGATAAATACAAATATTACAGATTTGCAGTGTACTGCATGGCTATTGCACGTAAGTGTCATATAATTGCCTGTTTTTCTCTGTGTTTCTTTCTTCCTTCTCTTCTGTTTTATAATTATATATTACTGTATTTCAGTGGTGTGCCTCTTGATAGCACTGGTCATATATCCCATATGTTTCGCAGCAGAATTGAATCTTGGTAAAGTTTTGATAATTGATTTTATCATATATGATTTAATAAATTGAATTAATAAATAAAATACGTTATTGTGTACGCAACAAACTGATGGAATACATTATGTTTAGGAAATCGAACCAATTGGGAATTTGGCTGGGCCTATGGCGTTGGTTGGGGTGCAGTTATTTTCCTGATTGGAGGAGCAGTACTGCTGCTGTGTGAGAAAGAAAGCGAGGAAATTTATTACAAGGAAAAGAAGACTGTTCGCGACGACATAGGAAGTGGTGGTTCCATGATCGGCATGGGACATCACGCTGGACGAAGTGGAACGCAGCTAGCCTAGTGGCATTGCTCCCTGCCCGATGTTGTTCTCTAGGTGATTTATTTTGTTTCTTTATGCTCTCACAGTTCAACACATGCGCATACGAAAAGATATACAAGCTATATAAGAATGGTTTTTCGGTAGGGTGTGTTTTTGGCTAATTCAAAGAAAACTATCCTTACAGATTCTCCGATCAATTTAGAGTAAATTTTTTCTTAATACATAAATGTTGAAGTATCAATAGTTTATTCACTTTTATATAACAAAGTAAAATTTTATGTTTGTTATTTAATCTTTATTAAACTTCAAGATTGAACATATAATATTGAAAATCTAGATAAGAAAGAAATATAACTAGTTGAGAAACAGTCGACTCGAAATTTGTCAAAGAATCTATAAGCGAGTTTTCATTGTCATTATTTGGAAATATTTGGAATAGATATAATTTATTCATTAGATGGGTATATATGAGTTACTATCAGTTTGATATATAGAATATATAACATCTAATTGTATAATAACCATTTTTATTTTTTTATTTTTGACTTCTTTATTTAGCAATCACAACTTTTATACTGACAATTTCGGGACCATTATTAGCTTGATTCTGTTTTTATATTTTCTACATTTTGCATAAATTTGGACAATTTTATATACACATGTGTATAATGTTTTTACGATAATTGGAAAGTTTATCTGCGTATAATATGACGACGCTGCATTTATTGTCCATAAATTAATAAGGATATCATATTTCTTATCGAGTCTGGGAGAAGTATAAAAAATAATTCCAACATAAATTAAAAACTTTTACATAAATAACAGCATATGTGCATATATACACAAAAAAATTGTGTTCTGTTTGTCTTTAAAAATTAAATAAAATTACAAGCAGTCAAATGAAAAATTCTATTAAAGTAAAGTTTGCTTTATGTTAAATAAGATTTCTTATCTATCTGCACTAATTCTCTTGAAACATTATTTGTCAGAAATATTTTGATATGTTTTTTATAATATTTAAATTTGCTTAATCTCTTAAATGTTTATTGTTCCCACATTCGAACACATAATATTGGTTTTTAATTTTAGCTCTAATATTTGTTTAAAGCTGAGAACTTTAAATATTAGGCAAACAGCTATAAAAGCTTTTCTTCTCTAATTTTAAGCAGATTTGTTTTCGGGTGTATTTTAATTTGAGGCTTTAATATTGAATATATGAAGGAATTGCTAACAAGGATAATGTCCTATAAAATTTTGGAGGTGATTTACTGAAAATTTATCAAAAAATCTATGAACTGGAAATACATGATGCCTCAAGGTAATATCTAACACATGTGTAACATGACTATATTTAATTTAATCTTTTATGGAACTTTTACTTCTTGCAATTTATTTCCTTCTACAACAATAAACATATCACATTTTTGTTCAGTTTATCAATAAGATTTTATTTATACAGATTGTCTTAGGAAAAATGTAATTTGTTACTTAAGAGATTTTAGGCAAAAAAGAATAATAAGTCTGGCTTGAAAAACAAGATTATGAAGATTTTGATAAATAAAATAGAAAAATTATTAACGCGTTATTTAAAAGAGAAAAATTTTGAGAATAAGAAAATATTTGTTTTCTTATTTGTTAAGGATATGTAATAATACAAAAATATAATGGTTTTGTCTAATGGAAAGAGAGGAAAAGCAATTTGCAATTATTTCCTACAAAACCATTTGCTAGCGGCCTACTACGAATATGACTAAGCAGACGTCATTTCTTCCAGTATACTTAAATGCAAATATGCTTAAAAACGCTCGAGTAATACCGTCCAAACATTCAAAGGATATTTCTGAGACAATCTGTATTCTTGAAATTTTTAAAAATTCAAGGTATTTATTAAAAATTTATTAGCATATTATCAAAATTTGCCCATTGTTTTTCTTAACTAAGACTTCGACTGGAAAAAAGACATGTAAATCATGAAATTTTATCATAAATACTCAATTTTGAGTAAAATGCATTTATATAGTTTTTATTTTGTCTTGCAGAATTCTCGTATGAGAAAAGATAACTACAATTTCGTCTGCATTTGCAGCTGCATTTTTAATTACATATTTAATGAAATGAATACAAATGTTTGACAATGTATCTTTTTTTCCAGTCGTAATTAACATTTTCGATTTTTATTGAAAAAACATCATCAGAAAATAATGTGTTCTTATATATTATCTTTTTGTCAAACTTCAAATTTTTTGTAAATGTGATGTATATACTATAGGCTCTAATAATTTATTATTAATTTCTATGCACACATACATTTTTTTTTCTTTTTTCACTTTTGTGCTTTTTTTATTTGATACATAATTTACGCATATTGCTAATATATACATATATACTGAAATCTGCCAATTTTATTATCATAAATTTTCGATATGCGTAGCGTGAGGGCATGCACCGTAAGAAGGAAATAATTTGTTCAATATATACGTCTAATTCACTTTAAACACTTCAAATTAAAGCCCCATAGTTTTAGTTTTACAATTTATTATTGTAATGGCTGTAAATTTATCTGATTTATTAATAAGGAGCTTTATTTTGCCAACACAGACTGACAAATCTTTAAAGACTTATCGCTTAAATATTAAAACGTATGGTTGAGATGATGTACAATTCTTGTTTAAGCCTTATTATTTGTGAATATTTTGTTAGTCATAAATGGAGAAAAATGAATACGCATCACCGTGATAAAAACAAATGGCTTAATTAACTTATAATTATTTGATTATCGCGTATGACGCGATATGCCGCGCGCGATTGTCATCCTCATCCATTTTTTATTGTCTGCATTAATTGCGAACATTATGGAAAAGACTGTAGTAGTTTGTATTGGAAAAGATATGGACCTTGTGCAGCATGAAAGCAATCAATCTCCTTCGAATGCTTGAAAGCGAAGTTCTAACATTGCAAAGCGAAGCGTAGCAATATCCATCATTTGTAGCGAATCTTGAACTTGTTACCTCAGGTATCTTTTAAGTTACTTATGGAGCACAAAACATTTAAGTGTGGAAAGAAACAGAGGCAGCTCGGGCAGATGTTATTTATTGCGTTATTTGCATTAGATACGTGTACGTAATATGTGTATATATAGATATAATATTTTATAAGTATATGTAGTTTAGCATTATACACTCGCAGATGTAATAGTCTGATACGCGCGATTTGCAGTATACGGCGAATACGGTCTATGTTAAGAATTGAATTCAATTACGAATTGAATCTTCGGATAATATCGAGTAACTTACAATTATCATGATACAATTTCTATATGCTTCACAAGTGAAATGGAAGAACGTGTACGAACGTGTACGTTTGTTAAATTTTGAAATGTTTTCCGTCGAATATAGTTAAAGAATTCGAGAGAAACTCGAGAAGACTATTAAGAATTGAGTACAATGTTGTTATATTATATCCTGCTTATACAGTAGATTTTCTATTCTTTAACTGCTTAATCCTTTATCACGTAGTACTCTATCACGTAAGAAATATTATTGCGATATAAGGAACTATAGTAACAAATAACAAAGTGTATGTAACAAATTCGTGATTTCTATATATCATGTGCGCATAGCATATAAGACAATCTGTTATGTCAGTCTTATGTATACTGACTTTACGTAATTCAGTCGTTTATTTGCAAAAGAGATGAGACATGTCCAGTGTGTAAGATTTGTTAAGATAAAAATATATATATTGTCTATAATGAAACATATCTAAGCATACTTTTTTAATGAAATTAAAAGTTTAATAGATTAAGTATTTAAGGTTTTTGAAATAAGTTTCTCATAGTTAATATTGATATGTAAGTTTATATCTATTGGATCTTTCTGGTCATGTCAGCGTTTGCAAATTGGCGACAGAATCGGAATCGCTATGTAGTCATCAGGTTTGCCATTTTCCATTAACCCAGGCAATCTTTGGTCGGATAGAATTATACAATAATCCATATAACATCATATACAAGATATATCGTTGCTGATTTAATTATATAACATGATTATTTAGGCATGTATTCAGCAGCAGCAGCACTTTGTATAGTATTTTAAAGTATATACATATCGCACTTATCATAATAAGTATACTGTTATATATAAGTATGGATTATACACAATTGATATATTATTTGTGCGCCATATTTCAATGTGTTAACATGTACTGTACAAAGAACAAAATATAACGTTAACGCTATAAGTGTATGCGTGTATACATTTTATCGGGCAAGATAAGCTTAGCGTGTTTGATCTCTACTTTTTTTTTAATCTTCTCTTTACGTTATTTTTATTTTCCACTATGCAAACCAATTAACAAATTGTTTATTGTTTAATAACTACATATTTTTTAAACAATTCCTCAAGTATTTTTATATTTTCCAGAAATTGGAAAAGATTGTTGCAAAACGAAAATTCCCGCTACTTGCGCAACCAATCAGATTGTCTTGTTTTAACCAGCGATGATTGGAGGAACATCATAAACTCTAGAGACTCTAGAAGGGCTCTGCAACAGTTAGGTATATTTATCAGGTTTGTTCGCGTCGCACGCCCCAACGTGCTCCTACTCGCTCCAATACATTCCAATCTATAGTATACGTGACATAATACTATAGATTGGAGCGTATATACATATATAACAGTATATATATACTATAGTGAGCCTTGATGGAGTGGGGATGGTCCACAATGGAAGAGAGAGAGCTATATTGGACGGGGACGTCTATCTCATATCTGTTTTTGTTTTTAATATCCTCGTCATATATGATAGTAAATGTGGAAAGAGGACAGACGTTCCCGTCTACTATTGCTATCCTTGGGCCACGAATTATACATTAGTCTTATCGGAAAGGCTCCAGTACGTTTATATAGCTCACTGGCTTTGTAATCTCGCACCGGCGTCAAGATATCTACAGGAGGCGCATTTCTTGTATGTGCGCGATCTCGACCGTTAGAAAATTGCGCCATTTTTTTTTAGTTACGCAGTGAATTGAATTGTTTAGCGAAAAGTAGCCGCGTAATCAGACGTGCGGAAAAGTAGCCGGGAGCGTGTCGTTCGAGCATCCGTAAGCAACGAGTTGATTTCGTTGCCGATAATATAATCATCCACGTGCGCGGTCCGAGACGGCTGGCGTCATCGAAGGGCAGGCAGGATTGATCATCGATCGAAATAAACGAGAACGAAAACAGGCGTCCGGGGGAGCCATCCAACAACGTACGCAGCGGTCGCCAAAATTGGGTTGTTTTGGTAGAAATTACGATAATTCTCTGTGAAGCAAAATGTCGGTGGACACGCTGAGTGATTCTGAGTTACGGACGAAGCTAATGGAATACGGCTATCCGGTGGGACCGGTGACACAGACAACCCGCAAGATTCTCGTGAAGAAACTGAAAAATCTCATCGATACTCGTGGTGGCAGCAGCGGATCCCGGCATTCGTTAGCCGCGAGGTGAGTATTTTTCTGAAAAAGAAGCCCAAAAGAACAATTTTACTTTTAGCCGCATCATATGTATATACATTTTCTGCACGTAGAATGAGATAAGTATATATTTCAAGCTTGGAGAAAGGCAGAGGAAAGAGCAAGGAGTTATGAACGGAAATTGAAACCGGTGTAATTTTGCTGAGATCAGATTCACATACCGCTGACATGTCCTAATGACCTTATGTTTATTCACAAATGAATGAAACGTGAAACATGGTGTAAAATTCTTTCTCACATGTTTATAGCAACAAGAATAGAACTTATCAAAATTGTACCGGTCTCTATTTTAAATGGAAAGAAATAAAACAAGACCTTAAAGTTTCAAGAAATAAATTAGAAATAGAATTTTTAACAATATCAATAAGATAGATTTACTCTGGATATTTACTTTATTTTTAATTGGGTAACAGTAGACAAATAGAATGATATTTAATATTTGTATCTTGATCTCCAGTGTTTTCTTCATCTGTATATTAGATATAGCAGCGATGACACAGATGATGACACAAGCACAAATGTCGTTAAGAAGAAGAAGAGTGCCAATGTGCGTCGACAAACACTGGCAAGTCCTATGCCTCCACCTTCGGTTATTCCTTCTGATGCTGCGAGTGTATCGAAGAATCCGGTCAGGGAAAATTTATCACCACCTCATTCAGAATTCAAGAATCCCAAGACGACAGATTTTGACAATGCAAATGTGTCTTCTAAGATTCGCACAACTTCAAAAAGTATGCAGAACAAATTTATAAGAACACAAAAAACTTACACCGATGACTTAGAAACTGGATCAGATTCAGATGTGATGGAAGATACTGGAAACACATATACACGCTCATATGATAAGTACTCGTCTAGTCCAACTAGAGTGTATGACTCTCGAGTGCACGATCGGAGTGGAGTTCACTTCGATTATGATCAAACGTTGAAAGCTAGACCTATTAATGTAATGGATAGCAAATACAATGCGTCCCCTTTGAAACCCAATATTTCTTCACTTCAACCTTCAATGGAGGATGCGAGTGGAAGAGACAATGTGAGAGACCTTCTTGGAAACTATGAAACTCCGTTTTTGTCAGAGTTTACGAGAAAACTTAGTTCGCGATCATTGATAAATAGCCCATCACCGACATTGTCGAACTTAAAAAGTAAGCATGTTTTTTTATTCACTATAAAATCTAATCTCTTTTAACATAAAGTATCTATTTCGAATCAATTGCAGATTATAGATCATCAACATAAAGATTTAAATAAGAAATGTGCTATGTAAAATTGCATTAATTAGAAGAATACATTTATCATAACTAATTTTTAGTATTGTATATTTACAAACTAAGTTTTAAATTTAAATGCTACTAAAGTTTATTTGAGAAGATATAACTTTAATTCGAAATGTGAACTTAAGCTTACTTTAACAGTTTATATGCTATTTAACTCGCATATTCTATGTTATAAATCTTTTTAATATTAATTTTATATTTAGGTTCCACATTACGCAACACATTGTCGTCCGGCTTACCAGAGGTGAAAGAAAGGGACTCGAATGGTCACTTCTCTTCCTTAAGAAACATGTATTCGCCATCAAGTCAGTTAAGGTATGTATGAATTATTATTGTGTGTGTGTGCGTGTGTGTCTGTGTGTGCGTGTGTGTCTGTGTGCGTGCGTGTGCGTGTACATGTGTGTGTCTAAATTATTATATGTAATATAATGTAAACAAACATTGTTTAGCTCAAGGCACAGTGCATCATCTGCTGATAGAGTACGGGATATCATTAGTAGAACGGCTTACAAACCATCAACAATGAATACAAACAGAGAAGATGTACGGAACAACCAGAACATCGTATCGATGGGCCTTGTAGCAGTAGTTGCTCTATTCTTTGTAGTCCTTGCGATAATATATCTAGGACTTGGTGGAAAAACAGAAACGCTTCCAACGCTTACATCGGGTAGGTATGCAGACTAATAACTACTTCAAGAGAAAATATTCTAAGAAATACGTTTGATGAAAATTTACTGATTATAAAACGCTAAATACATGATATATATATAAATATTCTTCTCAAATTAATGTTAGCTTAGAGTCACTTGTACTAATTATTATTAACATTTAACTTATCAATATCACTATTTTTATAAAATTTAAAGTAAAAATTTGTTATATATGCAAGAAAATCTTTCGAATATGTATTTTCCTTTCCCTATATACATGTGTATAATAAATATCACATATATCTCTTGAATTAGTTTGGATATTTTATTTCCTTTTCCCGTTCTTTACGCATATCTATTCCGATGTATTTCAACTTACATTTGCGGATAATGTGCGCGCTTTATACAATTTAATTTAGTCTATATGATGTTTGTATGTATATATGATATGTAGAAGTATAATTTTGTTATTAATTAATCGTTTTTCAAGCTCAGAAAATGACAAAATTAGGATAATGTTTTCCCCTTTGTAAGTCATCTTTGATTTTAAAATATTTAAGCAAAATTACTTTGTTAAAAACTAATTAAAAGATTATATGAATTTAGGCATCGTTCTCGAGTCTTCTATATACAATAATCAATTCGGCATAGATTGTTAAGTTAAGCTGTATCATGTAAAGAAAAAGAGTTTTAAACAGGAGGCAGTTATAAGTAATAGTTTTTTTGCATTAGTTTTAAGTGGAACCATTTTTCGAAGAGGAAAGCTATGTTGTTTATAGGATGTCTTTTTCGCTCATAGTATTTTTGTCTGAAAAATGAGTTCCGTTTGGAACACACAAAAATTTAATTGTTCCTGAAATTGCTTCTGTTTACAACTATCTCTATCTCCTTTATATCGCATACATCTTTATATTGATGATCTTGAGAGAAGAGTCATATATGTATGTATATTTATAGATAACAACATACCACAATGTTTCCTTGATGGAGCCCGCGATCTTAGAGTACCTGGAGTAAATTGCGTAATGAAGGAAAACATAGAATCCGTATTGCAACTATTGAAACGCCTACAACCTATTTTAACAAGAAAAGCAGTCTCTAAAATATGCGAAAATTCAAATGAAAACCCGTATTTGACCGATGCGGACATCCTACAGATGTTTACAAGTGATAAAGTGGTGCGTTCAGAATCGAAAAATTAATTGCGTTTAATGATATAAATTTAATTGATAATTATAATTTTCGTCTCTAGACAAACCTTGAGGTAAAGGAGGATCTGCACAATGCACAATTTTTAATCATTAAGAATCCCAAATGGGGTATTTCGCTTCTTGATATAAATGATGATAATGGAGCAACTACCGAAGTGTTGGATACTCTGGTAAATATATTGTATATCAATTCATTTGTGTGTACGCGCATAGGCTCTTGTATTATTAAACTTGTATTATTAAAATATGTGCTTTAATCGTTACAGGATAAATTATTTTCCGCTCGTCTAAATGGAAAAGTCGGAATGACAATTTTAAGTCCTGAGCTGCCGATGCAATGTCTCATTAAGAACAAACTTTTTACCATCTTTTCTTTTCTTCTTATAATGGGAATCGGTAAAGTTTTAACAGATTGTTTATTTTATAAAACTTGCTAAATTTTACAGTTATGACATTTTTACTTGCATGTTCTAAAGCTGTTCACATATAATGCATTAATTATGTACTTATAAGATTATTATTCATTGTGAATAATGGTGGTGATATGTACATTATGTTTTAGTAAAATTGTTGCATTTTAAAACAATTTCATATTTTGTCAATATAATTTCGTATTTAATATATTATCGTAAACTGAGATTCTTTACAACGAACATTTCTTTCTTGAAAAGAAATTTATCGACATAATGCACAAAATGCCATGTTATAAAAAAATTGGTGAAATATCCGTTTACGATATTATAGTACATACATAAGAATAGATAGAAATACATGTAATGAAAGATCTGTAATAGTAGCTATGCATCTTCAGTTTCATTAGCAGGTATCGGGATTTATAAATTTTACCTTTGGTACCTAAAATACAAGAAATGTACGGAGAGAGAGATATTTAAGCTTGTTAGTGAAATTATAAATATTGTCGAAACGCATCACAATGCGTCCACACAATCTGGCGGCGCGCAGGAAAGCTTTCTCGCAATAAATCATGTACGAGACAATCTTATTCCACCGAAAGATCGCAAAAGAATGGCCAATCTTTGGGAGAAAGCAGTGAAATTTCTGGATGAAAATGAATCTAGGTAAAAATTTTTTCAAGCATCTTTCATATTTATTTATATTACATGTTTGTAAAATGTGCAAAGAGAGAAATAATATAATTTTGATTTCTAGAATTCGAAGGGAAGTGCAACAAGTGGCAGGGGAAGAATTTCATGTATGGCGATGGCTGCCAAATAACACTTTGAATAAATCTCCTGTACAAATCACAACTTCGGGTAAAAAATCGAAAGTCTGGCAAGGACAAGCGTTCGAAACGATGGAAGGGTCAGTTAACAGTTTGACTTGTTCACCGACACCTTGTTTAAAAATTAGGCATATGTTTGATCCAGATATGTAAGTCATAATGCATCTGTATAAATCTGTATCATTACTAAGGGACGATCTAATTTCATTCTTTATTATGATTTAGCGAAACCGAAGACGATTGGGAGACAAGAGTACAGGATGCTATTTTAGAAAAATGTGGAGAGGGTGTCAAGATACTTCATATTCGAGTAGACATCGGTAGTCGCGAAGGTTGTGTTTATATGAAATGTATGTCGCAGGAAGATGCTGGCAAAGCTTACAGGGCATTACACGGATGTTGGTTCGATGGTATGTTATTAAATTATAATTAATTTGCTTCTAATCTTTTGTATTTGGAAAATTAAATATTCATTAGGAGTATTATGACTCCCCAAATCCATTTAAAAATTTTCATAAAATATAGCCGGTATCATCGCGGAAGTTTTATTATGAAATATATCAAATATTAAGAACTTAAGAAGATTAAGAATTTAAATTAGACATACAAAGTTTTTAATATCATTAATATTTTTATATCAATAGAATAATTGAGGTATCTTTTAGAGTTTTGGGCTAGAGAGCATTATATCAATGTACGTTAATGACATATCACAATGTTATGTTTCTAAGAAATTTTTTTTCCAGGTAATTTAGTGACTGTAAAGTACCTGAGATTGGAGCGTTATCACGAACGATTTCCGGACGCTGTCCGCTGTGTAACGCCTCTCAAACCAAGTAACAATCAACGACTATCCATGCAAGCTCATTATTGGCAGAGTCCTGCGGAAGCGAATTAACAACTTACATTTCTGCTTGGACGTTGAAAAGAAATGTGACTTTTATGTTTGATCACACACAATTACTTGCTGATTAAAACTTACGGAATCTTTTTATTTTTATTTTTTTTGTTCTAAGATAAAATACTTTTATGCTGCAGCGCAAATACATATTACGATTGATAGTTATCTTTTATAACAGCATTTTCTTTTAATTCACTAATTTGTGTACTACATTTTATTTTTCATCTTTTATGAACAGAGGGCGTACATGTTTTTAATAGTTAAATGATAATAATTATGATATAATTATAAATATAATAACAATAATAATAATTAAATATACTTTTAAAGAATTGTAAAAATATTTTAATCTGACAATGAGTTTTATAGAGTATTTTCAAGTAGCAATACACATGTGCGTAAGCATCATGTATATCGTATTCTTTATAGGCCTTTCCAGACTGATTATGACTTCCAGACTGATTATGACTTCCAGACTGAATTATGTTATTATTTCATAATAACGTAATTTTATAATTCTGTAATATTTTCTATATGGAGGACATGTATACAGAAGTTAATCAGTTATGTATACAGAATCTGATATACAGAATATATAAATATTCTTTGTGTATTAGATTTTATATTGGTCGTCTTTTTGAATATAATTACATCATTGTTAATGAAATAATACTTAATAATTTCTGATACTAGATATTAATAATCAATGCTTTTTTTTAATAATCATGTAAATTATTTTTTACAATGTATTATAGAAAATGTACAGTAAAATAAAATTAAATTGCTTTGTAAAAAGTATACAATTAAAAAGCTGAAGAAGTTAATTTTGTTTGAAAGGTAAAAAATATAACAGTATAAGTTTGTGGATATAATTGAAAAACGTAAAGCGTTTTAATCATTTTTAGTCATTCAATATAAATATTTAGATTACCCTTTAGTTATATTTACATTATCGTATACATGCACGGCAATATCTAAATATATATATAAGATGTTTCCACAAGAAGGCGCGAGTACATACATGGTGAATTTTTTAATCTCACAATTTCGAACCAAATGGTTTGAGTCTTGGCTAAAATTGATTTTGTGCCGAGAGAAAGAGTCAGAGGGATGATGCTTATTCTGTTTATCTTAGGTGGCTTGCGGTACCCTCTCCATTCATGCTGCTTGCTTCTTGCGTCTCAAATCTGGCCACACTGTCTTGTCATAACATGTAGACATAACCTAAAATTGTTGCAAATGACGGAAAACGTACGTATGCGTATCTATCAAAAATTTAAGAAGAATTTTACATGTCAAACATTAATACTGTGATAGAAAGGAATTTTGTATAAAACAATTAAAAAAATGAAATATTCTACTTCACCACCGACAAGTCGATGTCATTCCCCTGTTCCAACAGAATTTTCATCTTCGTTGCCAATGCCAATCGTTTACAGGTATTATTGTATTATTGTGTATTATTTTAAATATTTTGTTCTAAATTTAGTTGATTAATGAGAAAATAATGTGTCCTATTGCAGACATAATTGTATGGGTGCTGCAACAAAATGCTACAAGTATTTAAGAAAACTATTAAAGTTTGAACAAATGGATTTCGAGTTTGCTCTTTGGCAAATGATTTTTCTATTTGTGGCACCGCAGAAAGTATATAGAAACTTCCAAAACAGAAAACGTATGTTATACTTTACAATATTTAATATATAATCTTTTATAATTTCTTTTATAATACTTTTTATCTTTATTTAATATTTAATAATGTATTTGATATGATAAAAATATATTGCACAAACTTTTTTTTTAGAAACAAAATCACAATTTGCAAGAGATGATCCAGCATTTTTAGTATTGGTTACATGCTGCCTTTGTATATCAACCATCGGTTTCGCCGTAGTATTGAACTTAAAATTCTTTCAGTTTGTCAAGTTGTTATTTTACATGGTTTTTATTGATTACATAGCTGCTGGATTGTTAATAGCAACAATATTTTGGTAAGCATATTAAATATTTGTAACTTAGATTTTATTGTTTTCTTTTAAATTATAGTTTTATCTATGACACATTTTGAATCTATAAAATCTCTAATCTAAATCTCTAATCTTATTGATAAAAAAATTTTAATCAACAAGCTAAATTTATATATAACAATTAATTGTAACTATTTTTTCATTTTTCTTTAATCATTATTTAAACTTTTTAAAAATTATCTTTGGGATTTTTAATTCGATCAATCTTGTTTTTACAGGTTTACATCTAATCGATATCTCAGGGTAGACAGGACACAAGATGTTGAATGGGGTTATGTATTTGATATCCATTTGAATGCAATGTTTCCTCCTTTAATTATACTCCATATTTTCCAATTATTTCTATATAATGGTGAGATCTTATGCACACACAACATATTCTATCTCATTTATTATTAAATGATATTTTTAACAATATATATATAAAATCTTTTTTTCCAGCTTTAATAAATTACGATACATTCTCAGCAAGATTTATCGGCAATACATTTTGGCTTATAGCTATTGGTTATTATATTTACATCACGTTCCTTGGCTATGCAAGTAAGTATGAGACCACAAAGCTTGTGTGTTATTTCATGTTGTAGTTTAAAAATGCAATAAAAGTGCAAAGCAAAATATTGCTAAAGATATAAATAAGAAAATAGTCATATTTATTTTATAGAAATTTTTAGTATAACATAGTATAAAAAACTTATTTCTATTTCAGATATTGAAATACTTCATAAAACGCATCTGATATTATCCACGTTACCAATAATGCTGCTGACATATATAACTACATTATGCGCGGGTATTAATATTAGTCATTTAGTAATGGAATTTTATCGGTATCGGGCTTTGTAAATATGCCATATCATATGTAATTAAGATATGTATCAAACTTTTATTACAAATCAGGTATGTATTAATATTAGAATAATATTATATACTTGATATACATATTTGATTATACATGAATGCAAGTTTTTAAAATATCTATTTTGTGTTAAAAATTATTTTTCATATTTATTTTTTTGTAATAGAAAACTGTCAGATGTAATATTCCAAATATAGTCTAATAACAAAAGCGATCTATTTGTTTTATTACAATGCTGCATATATAGTTTAACATAATCTAATATAATTTCAATTAATCTGTATTTGAGCAATAATATACCGATTAATTGAGATTATCATAAAAAAAAGTATGTCTAGCTTGACTGAGCAGAATTTTGACAAATCAAGTAAATAGTATAACTCATCTAATAAATCAGATGTTTTCTCTTTTCAATAGTACAATTCAACGTCAAATCAAACATTGTTTTGTAATAAAATAGTATTTACTATACGTACAAAGAAATATAAAAGTGCGCGCGTATTCTTTTCCATTTCTCACTCTTGGTTTGTTATTGCCGGGATATACGGTATGATGGCGCTTTGGTTGGCCTTCATTTGCTTTGCTTCACTTTTTCAAGAGGGAGTTACGGCTGGTTACGAGCTCTTGGTTCTCTTCGCGCCTTCGTTTAATTTCACTTGTTTAATTCTCGTTTTTTTTTTATAAAAAAGAAACGCATAATGAGTGCACAAGCGTCTTCTGCGAAAATAAAGGAGTTACGCTTGCCAATTTCAAGAGTGAAAACGATAATGAAGAGTTCTCCTTATGTTGATACCATCGGACAAGATGGATTGTACTTGGTAACAAAAGCTACGGTAAGTATCTGAGGTTATAAAACGCTTATTATGAACACTGCGTGAAGTTTGTTAAAACGAATTCAATGGGATTATTCTATGATTTATTAATTGAACTGAGCATTTGGTATTTTATTATTTTTATTAGTATTGTTTGTACATTTTTTCCAGGAACTTTTTATACATTATTTAACAGAAGAGGCACATTCACAAAGTAACAAAGGATCTTCTTTGGATTATAAACATTTGGCAGAAGTCGTACAGACTAACGACACGCTGGAATTTCTCCGAGAAATAATGCCCAGAAAAATTACAGTTAGACAATTCAAGGAAATGATGGCAGCTAAGTCCCATAGTAGTTCTTCTGAGAGTAGTTCAGATTCTGATAGTGATAGCGACTCAGATTCAGATTCTTGCTCAGACAGTGACGAAACAAAAGCAGAGAATGGGAACTCATCGGACAGTGAAAGAGAAAGTGAAACTAAAGAGAATGGTCATTCGGTCAGTGATAAGAGCGAAAGTAGTGTAAAAAGTGATAGTGAAGAGGACAATAAGAGATAAGTACTTATTAATCTTTATGTTTAGCAGATAAACTCTCTGATTATTTAATAAACTGATTAATCAGGTGTTTTTCTAAAATTATTTGTATAGATCTTTAAGATCTATTTAAAAGAATCAGATACAATATATCAAGGTGCAACACAACATATAGCAAGTGCATCTATATCAGTAAAAACATAAAATGTAATGATAACGGCACAAATTCAAAAGACTATGAAAAATTGTCTTTAAAGAGAAAAAAAATACTATTTTTCTATGTTTGCAATCAGCAAATGCACGTTATTAAATCTTTTTATAGATGGTATTCTTATATATTTTCTTCATCTATAAATGTGTATATACCTCACAGCATCCACTGATCATTCAATTGCATTAATAATATTTTGTCATTAATGTTTCATTTATGAACAATTACAATATTTATAATTACATTTATTTATAATTCCACATAACATAATATAAAAAATTGTGATTTTTTATACGATAAAAATAAAATAAATGATGTCCTAACATTTTGTTTTATTTGGCCTTTAAAATTTCATATCATGTAACAATTATTAGCGGTATATGTACGGCACGTTTCTTAAAAATTTTATACGTGTACAATATGAACTTGTTGATTAATTTACGTGTTAATATTTAAATTGGTTGTTCTTATAATATATGTATGTTTAAGATACTTGGGTTATAGTATTAGTCTTGATGCATTTTTCTTGATATAGATGTAACATCCAAGACATCCTCATTTAATTTTACAGCTAGAAAATAGATCTCAGCTAACGCTATGATTAGCGCGCAAATTATACCCAGGAGTAATCTAAATCCAAAGTCTAAATTTCCAACTATGAGTTCTACTCCTATGAATCCAAAGGCAAAGCCAGCTAATACAGAAAATACAAATTGTGCAACAGCGATCAGTTGTTTATTTATCTGCTTCACTGTAAAAAATAATGTTAGATATATTATATATTTTACAGAAGTATTGAATTAGATGAATGATTAAAATAGTATATAAAAAGTTATATTTACTTTGATATGCAATGCTGTCTTCTGGTAGAAATTTCCGAATGGAATCAACGCTCTTTGTCATTGCTTGATACTCCCTACTATTTTGTTGCGCTGTCAACTTTTGTATTCTAGCCTCCAATTCTGGATTTCGTGGTATCTCCTTTGGAGTTGGTAATATCACATTGGAATCATCAAAAAGTTCATGCAAATAAATCTTTTCTGTTGCACTTTTTCTATACTCAATTAAATATTTATGTAACCACCTAAGATCTTCGATTTTTAATATAACATTTGCAATCTTTTCTTTCTTAGATTTTTTAGATTTGCGTAACGATGCAATACCATCCGGTGCATTGTCTATGTTTTTTACATTGTTCAAGATAAAATTTATCAATTTTACGGATGGTTTTACTCTTATCGTAGGATCCACAATTGATTCTAATGGCATATTTATGTTAATTCTATACACACTTTTCTCTTAAAAAAAAAAAAAATTACATAAATTAAATTCTCTTATTAAATGCTGAAGTATTAAGACACAATAATACAGATGAATAGATTAGAGATTGTATTATTTTCATGTTGTAATATGCAATTTCTTTTCCAAATCAATATAGAAATCCTGTATCTCGTTTTCTTTCTGTTGAAAAGTTTGATCCACTTCCTGACATTTATCACTCATATCATTTATGAATTTCTCCCACTCAACTTTTCTAATTAATCTGTTTTGTCTTAAAGCGTTATCCTAGAAAATAAAAGTATCTGTACATGAGTTCATTCTATCTTGCACATTTTGAAACTATCAAATATAAAATCTGATTAATATACATACACTAACAAAATTTTCTTCTCTCTGTAAAACACGGTTGCACATACTCAGTGCAACATCCACATTTGCTTTAAGACTAGGTAAATGACAATCACCAAGCTGTTCAGTACGATCCAATTGGCTTTCTTTCAGTTCTGTTGTATATTCTAGTATTTTAAACAAACGCTCCACTTCTCTATCAGCTCTTTTTTCCTAAAACAAACATGACTTTCTAGATGTGTTTATTTAAAAAATCTATTTCATCGCATAGATAATGGATATTTTAACATTAAATGCTTAATACTGAAATATATAAAAGCTTAAAAATTTTAGTAAATAATTATTTATTTACAATATATATATAATTAAATGCATTAAATAAATTAATAATAAAAAAAAGTGTTCAAGAGCGATTGTAAACAATAGTATTTATAATTTTGTATATGTTAAACTTCACGTTCGACTTTCGTCACAGGTTATGTTCATAACTAAACATTTTTGATTAATTAAAAATGATTACTTGTGTCAGTATCTATCGTAACGATAATATCAAGATATGGTTGTTGCTATAGAGATTCATAATTAGTATTCACCTGAAATTCGCGCAAAAAGAATGTAATTTCTCCTTGAACGAACGGACGATGGTCGAACAATCTGCTCCAGATTTCGCCCGTGTCTACGAAAATGTGACTGCGTATGATACAATGGTTATAGTGATACTTAAAGGTAAAATATTTGTTTATCGGATATGCATAGCGTTATGTTTATAATCATGCAGTGATTGCCGCACCTTTGATTATAGACGCCATGTCGGTGTGGAAACAGGCGGTGTATTGTCAGACGGCAACACTTTGTCACATGATAAGTTATATCACGCATATACAAATAGATAAAGTAAGCATTCATATATATATATATATAGTACGCATATAACAAATAGAATAAAAGTAAGCATTCATATATATACTACATATATATATATATATATATATATATATATATATATATGTATATATCTGTGGTATATACATATATTTATAGCCACAGCATATGTGCCTATTATATGTCTATGTTTTTAACATAGCAGAAAGTGAAATTAAAAATTAGTTTCCAACTGAGAGAGATAGTTAATCTACAAGTTTACATTTTATTTTATCTTACAGAAAACTGCAGCAAGATAACAATCGACATTTTGCTGTAGAAATAAAATAAGATGTAGATTAACAAACACACATTTACAGGTTGTGGTATAGATTTCATTATTCGTTGACATGGATTTATATTTTATTTACATGATGTTTGCAGGAATTATATATTTTTTTACATATTTTTCTATGCTTTTTCTGCATTGATGACAGTGCTGACATCTGGAAACAGCTGTTAGTTAACACCCCTAACGCCCCCAATCATTTACGACCATCATGGCCGCTCCCAGGCTGATGAAGCCCTCGAAAATGACATTTGTTAGATGAAAGGCATTAAAGTGTATCTATATATTACTAATCATTCGGACAAAAATTAGCAGCAAGGACAGTTAAAGTTCGTACCTTTCTCTCATGTCTGTCACTTCATAAAATGACGGTCATGTAATTTTGTAACTCGTGTGCGAATGTTCTCCTACGTTATTTGTCTTGTGCAAGTAGTACCCAGCGTTTTATCAAAACTATTCGAACCGGTACGATTGTGTCTATGAGAAATGAAACAATGATGCCGATAAAGGACAATCAAGATGTGGCATGCTTTTTGGTTACCAAACATTCTACTTGGAAGGGAAAGTAAGTTTTTTTTCTCATTAACAAACTGTTTTAAAAGCAAATTAATATTTTATACAATAAATAAAATTTTATGAATGTTTAATTTGCTATAAATTTATTACAGAATTATATGGTAGAGAAATTGATTTTGTTGCAATCTGTTATAAAGAATTTGCTTATAGAAAATGTAACATCTGTAATCATATATATGCAATGAAAATAATATCCATAAACTTCTTTTGTCAGAGCTAGAAGATAATATATTTATGTCTTAATATAAAAATAATCTTATTACATATAAAATAAAAGTGTCTTCAATAATTTCTTTTTGTAATATTAGTAGTCTTTGAGCTTATATCTAACTAATATATTTTAGATACAAACGTATTTTCTCCATTGGTTCTATGGGAATAACAACATACAATCCTGGCACATTAGAAGTCACAAACAGATGGGAATATTCTGACTTTATAAATGTACAGCCAACAAATAGAAGTCAATTAGGTTCCCATGAATTTACCATAACTGTGCGTAAAGATCGGAAAAATGATACTATGAAATTTAGTTCTGAACATAGACCACATTTATTGACAGAAGCGCTCAAATATAGAAATCAATTCAATGAAAAATGTAAAGAAATCTTGGTAAGTTTTTTCTTTTATCATTTTTCTTTTATTTCTCTCTCTTTTTTCCCTATCTCTATGTATCACAATAATATACATTCTTTATAATGAAACATCAGGCTAATTTATTATTAATTAGCTATTTGATTACAGAATTTTAACAAACAATAAAAGAATTTTAAAGAATAAAAAGAAAAAAAACGAATAAATAAATAAAAAATTAAAAGCTACATATAATAATTTTACACACATAACATTAATAAAATGATATATTTTACGCACATAACATTAAAATGATATATTTTTATATTTATAGAGATATCAAGCTTATAAACATCATTGGTCTGATACAAGATTACCTGTTGTATTAGAAATTACATCATACAGTCTTGATCAATTGGATCCTGCAACAAATATGGTCTTAGCTAGTTATTGTTACAAAGATTTCGAAGGGCTTCTGACAATGAAAGATTACCCCAACGGGTTTGTAATTGTTTGTGGAGGATTTGGTCGCCTACATCTTTTCGCTTCCACACATATGGAAGAGATAAAAAAAAAGCTACAAGAAGCTGCTTTAAATAATTTAGGCATTAATATAAAAATGTTGAAGGAGCCTATAAAACTTGATGACTTTATTGCTCAAAGATTAGGGAAATTTAGCGGTGACGAGCATATAACGAGTGTTTCCGAATTCACTGTACACAAAATCTCATCTAGGCATTTGGATCCTCCAAGAAGAACACTTTGTCTTTCGGACACCTGCCTGTTGGAAAGAGATCCTCAGACATATAATATTTGTACTCTTAGGCCACTATCAGACATTTTTACTTTGATCCGTGATAACGATAATCCTCAGCTATTTACCATACAATATCTTAATGGTCAAATGCGCAGCTACACTACGACGAATAGAGATTCCTTGTTAGCATCTCTACTGGATGGTGTGAGAGCTTCTGGTAATAGAGACGTCCATGTGAAGATGTATCCCATAGCCAGAGGTAAAAGACTTGGACCTTTTAATCTACCTGTTGAAGAAGAAGTCGAAACAACGCACGTTAAATTTCTTCAACAACCGCCTGGGGGACGTACATTTGCTGAAATTTTGGAGAGATTTAATGCGAATATACCATACAGTGGTCTTAATTATTCCATTACTCAAGATGTAAGATAAAGAATTCCTCTATATGATTGTATATAAGATTATAATTAAATGCTTATGCACATAAATGCTTGTACAGTACATTGAAGCGGTTGAGGTACATTGCCTGAGAGTGGCTTTTTGAAACTTTATAATGAAGAATAATGGACAGAATATTTTTCAGGTTTTTTTTTCTTTTTCTTTTTTTGTGAATTGTATGTATATATAAAAATTATAAAGTTTCAAATATATTTAGATTAATGTAAATAATATATAAAGGGATATAAAACATTTTCTGTTTGTCCAGGAAGTTGTACCGCTTGAATGGACTGTAACAACGTTACAACTCCAAGTACACCGTATCACGAATGATTACTTGCAGGGAATCTTTACTGAAAACAAAGACAAGATTATCGTTGGAGCTTTGAATACTTTAATCAGCAAAGATTTGGAGACAAATAGCGAGATTGAGGCGCAATTTCATGCGTTACGAAGATTAGTAGCTAGCAAAATCGGTTTTGCCGCATTTACAACAGTTTCTGGTTTTAGAGAAGCTGTTGGAATGAAAGTCGTAAAAGCTTTAAAGCGACAAAATAGTGGTGTAACGCAAGCTGCCATAGATTGCATCTGCGCTCTGATGCAGCCAATGCACGACGATTGCGATCTAAGACAAGAACAGCTGAACAAGAGTAGTTTGCTCAGCAGTAATAAATTTTTAGAAAGTTTACTTGAAATGTGGATTAATCATATCGTAAGTATTTCAGATTGCACATTTACTTTATTATTTTATTTAAGTTGTTCTTGAGATCTGCTTAAACATTTTTATAGAATAAATTTTTTTAAAACATGATTAATAAAATATGTAATATATAATATTGAAAGAGAATATATATCATTATAAAATGTTGGGATCTATGACAATACATTAAAATTTTTTTCTCTTAATGTTACAGAATCATGACACAGGTGCTCTGGTAGTCTCAGCAATGCTCGATCTTTTAACATTTGCCCTGTGCGTGCCATATAGTGAAACAACTGATGGTAAACATTTCGACAATCTTTTAGAAATGGTTGCTGCAAGAGGTAGATCTCTATTTAAATTGTTCCAACATCCCTCATTGGCTGTGGTCAAAGGTGCTGGGTTAATAATGCGGGCGATCATCGAAGAAGGCGCAGCAGAAGTAGCAGCAAAGATGCAAGAATTGGCACTTGCAGAAGGAGCTCTACCGAGACATTTATTAAATAGTCTATTTACTGTTGGAAGTGATAGTAGACTATTAACGCATCGACAATTATGTCGACATCTAGTAGGTTTATGGGTTACAGGGCATCCCACAGCTATGGGATTATTAAAACGAATTATGGTAAGTCGATATTATTTTTATTAATAGCAAAAAGAAGATAATTCTTCTGTGTGAATAAGATGGAATATAGAATAATATGTTTGCAGCCGGTTGGTTTATTGAATTATTTGGATTCCGATGAGAAAGTACCAGACTCATTTTTGGAAGAGGAGAGACTAAACAATCGTGACAATTTAAAAATAGCTATAGATCATGCGTCGAGAAATAAAAAAAGCCCACAATGGATTACTATCGAGCGTCAGATGCGAGTAGTCGAGAAGCATGTGGAGAACGCGCTGCAGCATTGGGGTGCTCGTATTGGAATTGAACGGAGAGAAAAGATTAAAGAGCGTCCGATAGTTCTGAGAAAGCGTAGAGAACGAATTAAATCTGAAGCGAATTGGAAATTATTTTATTATAAATTTAATCAAGATCACGCACTGCCAAATTTGATTTGGAATCACAAAACGAGAGAGGAGTTGAGAATAGCATTAGAAAATGAGATACGTGCATTTAGTTCGGATAAAGATTTAGCTGGCGGAACTCTGATTGCGTGGAATCATAGAGAATTCGAGGTGCAATATCAATGTCTTTCGGATGAAGTTAAAATTGGAGATTATTACTTGAGGCTTTTATTGGAAAAAGATAGTCCCGACAGTCCGATAAGAAAATCGTAAGTATATACAGATTGTTCTACATACACTTACACAGTATTTTAAAAATACAATTAATATCTGTCGATGGGACATTACCAATTTTATGAATTCAATGATTGCAAAATATATTCATAAAATGTTATATAATTATTATCAACAGTAAAGATCTGCAATATACATATTCGATTTAATGTTTATCTCATTGAATATTATATATAAAAATTGGTACTGTCTTTTAGTCTGTTACGTGTTATTTTAGAAAAACTGTAGAAAATTTGTAACAGTAGATTTTCTATTTTCAATTGCAGATACGAATTTTTTAATGATTTATATCATAGATTTTTATTGACTGCAAAAATCGAAATGAAGTGCCTTTGCTTGCAAGCAATGACGATAGTATATGGTCGATATTATGAGGACATTGGTCCGTTCTCAGATACAAAATATATACTGGGAATGCTGGAGCGTTGCATAGATAGAACGGAACGCGATAGGCTAGTTATGTTCGTAAATAAGCTCATATTACATAGGCGAAATGTGAAAGACATAATGGATCAAAACGGAGTGCGGACTTTAGTCGATTTATTGACATTGGCGCATTTACATACTTCCCGAGCTGTCGTACCAACGCAAACTAATGTAATAGAGGCGGGCCCGCAGCAGGAACGAATGGAAAAGGAATGGTATTATAATAACGGCGATCAACGTGAAGGACCGATAAGTTTGAAAGATCTAAAAGAATTGTATATTTCGAATCACGTGAGTCACAAAACCAAAGTTTGGGCACAGGGATTAGATGGATGGAAAACGATTTCACAAGTGCCACAATTAAAGTGGAGTCTTGTCGCCAAAGGAGCTCCCGTAATAAATGAAAGCGAACTGGCTACTTTAATCCTGAATATTTTAATTAAGATGTGTGAATATTTTCCAAGTAGAGACGCCGACGACGCGGTAATCAGACCCTTGCCGCGTGTGAAACGATTGCTATCCGACCTTCAATATCTGCCACATATTGTACAGCTTTTGCTAACATTTGATCCGATTCTGGTTGAAAGAGTCGCTACATTGCTATGTGAAATAATGCGAGATAATGCAGATGTGTCAAAAATTTATCTTACCGGTGTGTTTTACTTTATTTTAATGTACACTGGTTCCAATGTCTTACCAATCGCAAGGTTTTTGCAACTTACGCACACTAAACAAGCTTTTAGGAACGATGATGTGAGTTTACATATATTTATCATATATTGAAATATGATATAAAATGTTTAATTATTTATCATTATTATTATATCTTTTAGAATACTTCCTCAGATATCATGCAACGAAGTATTCTCGGTCAACTATTGCCCGATGCAATGGTGAGTTATCTAGAAAATCACGGGGCAGAGAAATTTGCGCAAATATTCCTTGGAGATTATGATACGCCGGAAGCGATTTGGAACGCAGAGATGCGACGGATGCTTATCGAGAAAATCGCTGCGCATATTGCAGATTTTACCCCTAAGTTACGAAGTCATACTATGGCCAGGTATCAATATATCGCCATACCTGCTGTGAGATACCCACAATTAGAAAATGAATTATTCTGCCAAATATTCTATCTCAGACATCTATGCGATACCGTTAAATTTCCACAGTGGCCTATTTCAGAACCTGTAAGTTAAGACAAATTTATTTGATTTTTATGCCACATTCTATATATTTTACACTATTAATGACTCGAGTATGATATTAAATTAGGTCCAATTAATGAAAGATGTATTAGACGCGTGGAAGAAAGAAGTGGAGAAGAAACCACCTTTAATGACTGTAGACGAAGCTTACAAACAGCTCGGTTTACCCACTGGAAAACAGCATGACGGAGCGATCGTTAGGAAATCGTTTTATAAATTAGCTCAAATGTATCATCCTGATAAGAATCCTGATGGCAGAGTAAGTTTGTATTTATATATTTGTTGCCGAATTATTTTATTATTTTTAACTGAATTATAAACATATTTCTCTGATAATTTTAGGACAAGTTCGAGGCTGTTAGTCAGGCATACGAATTTCTATGCAGCCGCAGTTGTTGGTCAACTACTGGTCCTAATCCCGACAACATCGTTTTGATTTTAAGGACTCAGAGCATTCTTTTTCATAGATATACAGAGGGACTTGAACCTTACAAATACGCTGGTTATCCCCAGCTGATCAAGACGATTAAGCTAGAAACGGATGACGAACGATTATTTTCCAAATCTGCTCCTTTATTAGCAGCCGCAAGCGAACTCGCGTATCACACGGTGCACTGCTCGGCGTTAAATGCCGAAGAATTGCGACGGGAGGGCGGTTTGGATGTATTGCTGGAGGCGTATACACGATGTGTATCTGTGTTGAGTAAATCGAGCAAACCCACGGACGTAGCAGTGCAAGTTTGTATGCATATCACTAGATGTTTTGCTGTCGCCGGATCATTCCGAGGATGCAGAGATAAGATTATTGAATTGCCGCAACTTGTGAAAGACCTTTGCAGGATACTCCATTTCAAGGTATTTACGAAAATATTTTATAGAGCTATGGTAGATTTTTTTCCAATTTATTCTTTTTTCAAGAATATATTTTAACATTGATTTTCTTTTTTCTTTTACAGCATTTAACAAAATTATGTGCAGTTGCCACAGAATGTATTTCGTCTCTTGCTACAGATAGCATATTACAGATGCAATTATTAAAATCTGGTGCTTTGTGGGATCTGTTGCACTTTATGTTCAACTATGATTATACATTGGAAGAAGGCGGTGTGGAAAGAAATCAGGATGAGAATCGTCAGGAAGTGGCCAATAATTTAGCTAAATTGGCAGTTCGCGCTTGTGCTAGATTAGGCGGTTACACGAAGGGGGATAACGAGACACCTGTTAATCCCGTTACAGTTGCCGCCTTAGAAAGTTTGTTAACGCCTTATCTAGCACGTCAGCTTGTTAAAGATAAGCCTGAAGAGATTTTAAAAATATTAAATTCTAATTGTTCAAATCCATATTTAATCTGGGATAATGGAACTAGAGCGGAACTAAATGAATATTTAGAAATGAAACGGCAAGACAGATTAAATAATAGCGATAATTTCGAACATGATTTTAGCGATTTTAAATACACCGCTCATGCTGACGAATTAGTAATCGGTGAAATTTTTGTGAAAGTATACAATGAACAACCAGTGTATCCGATTGAGGTAAATTAATTATCTGTTTTAAGAACAAGATCATTATGATCGTTGATGAAAAGTAATCTTAGAAAGCTATTTATCTTTCAGAATCCAAAAAGTTTTACGATAAATTTACTTGAATTTTTATCGTCGTCTTCGGAGTATTTAACATCTCTGGGAAGTATTGCTTTGGGTAAAAAGGATCAAGAAAAATTGGAGCACATCGTCATGGCGCTTAAAGCTCTAACAAATGTTATTAAAAATAATCCTGGAATTGAGTTACAGTGTATGGGGCACTTTAAATTGCTGTTTGGACTTCTGAGTTGTAATACTTTCAAATTAATTCAGAAGAGCGCTCTAGAAGTAATCAGTAATGTTACCAAAAATCAGGAGTGCGTTGATGATATAGCCGCGAATGAAGTTGTCGTGCATATGTTGTTGTGTTTGCACAATCTAAAAGAGTGTCAGCTTCTTGCATTAGAAACTTTGTATGCACTGATGAGTTCGACAAAAATTGTGAAAGATGCATTAACAAAAGGTTCGTAAACGATACGGTTGTATGAAGAACATTGATGTCTATTTTCGATATAATTGAATCTAATATATTTATTGTCTTTTCCAGGAGCTGTTGTGTACATTCTTGATCTTTTCTGTAATTCAAGTAATATTCAAATAAGGGAAGCAGCAGCTGAATTACTTGCAAAAATGTCGTCCGACAAACTGGCTGGACCAAAAGTCAAACTTGATTTATCGAAATTTTTACCTAGATTATTCAGTGAAGCTATTCGCGACGCACCCAAACAATGTGTACATATGTTTGAAACAAAGCATGAAAATCCTGAATTGATTTGGGATGATGATGCAAAAGCAAGAGTAGCAAGAATTATAGCTGAGTTGAAAGACGAGTGAGCTTCATTCAATGAATCTACTTTCTTTGTTCTTTTTTTTGCTCTACTGAATTAATTGTGCGTTGTCTTTCAGATATCACGCATTACAGAGACGCAATCCTAATGCCATATTAAAGTTACCTGATACACAAACTAATATCGACATTGCGACTAACGAACCTGTCGTAGGTGGAGTATATCTTAGATTATTTATAGCCAGTCCTGCTTGGGCACTCAGGAAACCGAAAGAATTCTTAAGTGAGCTGATGGACACTGTATTAACACTAATGTCCAAGGAAAAAACTGACGTGAGTGTTATAAAATACATAATTGATAAAGATATTTAATATTTATTATTTATATATATTTTGTACATTTATTTTTATAAAACTAGACGGATATGTTGGAATTAACGACACAAGCTCTCGTGTGCTTGCTCCAAACACAACCTACTCTGTCGGACCAAGTACCGTCTTTGGGTCACATACCACGCCTTTGTCGGCAAATGGCTGTCCAGAATGGTCAGCCATCTGTATACAAGACGGCTATATTAATTCTGCATCAACTGGCAACGAGCGAAGTAAGTAATATTTAGCTACATATATTATTTATGTAGTAATATTTCTAATTCATTCAATTTATATTTGCAGATTTGTATCTCATCTATATGTCAAACAGAATGCATAAGTCCTTTAAAGCATGCAATGCAGTCAAGAAGAGATATGATTGCAATAGCATGTGAGACATTGAATAGATTATTTTCGACAAATGAGGATAGACTTGTCAAGCAGGTATGCATAACGAGCACTCATATGATTACGTAGATTGATGTGCGTTCAAAGTATTGATAAAACCTGTTACTATGCGTAGGCATTGGATGCCGAAATGGTACCATATCTTCTGAATATATTGGAAGGAAGATTAGATATTGTTGAAAATCCTGCCACGACTAAAGCGCAAATAGTGAAAGCTTTAAAAGCCATGACAAAAAGTTTACTTCTTGGTGAAAAAGTCAATGCCATTTTGGAAAAGTCAAGCGTATGGGCAGAATATAAGGATCAGCGGCATGATCTGTTTATTTCTAATAACACCAGTTCTGGTTACCTCACAGGTAAGATATGTGAATAATTTTAATGCGTTGATATCTTTTGCTAGTTACTAAGCTGCTTGATTATTGTCAGCTGGAACACCTGTATCCGCCGGCTACTTAACAGCAGGGCCAAGTACAACTTTGACCACAGGTCCACCGCCGGTAGACAAAGAAGATAGTATAATTAACAGAAATGATAGCATCTGATATAGGTAGCATCGTAAGTGGTACAAGAGGCAGTAAGGATGTCAATATTGAGATTCCTGTCGGTATACCGATATATACCGATATAGAGACTACATTGTCTGTGATTTTTGGCTTCTTAAAGAAAGAAATTTATTAATTGATTATTGTTTTTGCTGTATAATATCTTTATGTTGGAATTATAATATAATGTTTTGTTCTTTGATTACATTTATATATATATATTACATTTATATATATATATATATAAATATATATATATATATATATGAGCGATAGTAGAAGTAGCTAACTAAAACTTAAATCGTCAGTTTTTAAGAAAATATAAATATATATAGATAAAATTATAATAAGACAGACGCCCCTAATATATATTACCAAACAGATTTTCAGACAAATTTTTACCTTATACTCAGCAGCATCGTTATATAATATTTTGTTACGTTTCTGGTAAACAAATTTACAAATGTAAATTTTATAATTTTAAATGTAAATTTGTTTATTTACATTTGGAAATTTGTCTGCAGAGCGTTTAAAAAACAAAAATAAAATTCGATAGCATTGTCTGACGCGTTCAAAGTCGACTTTTTTTTATCGGAAATTTAAGTGAAGGAATAATTATCGGCTAATTAAGCTTAGCTTAAAACGACGTTATTGTGAGTTTTCTTTTCTGGTAGCTTTCCACATTTAACTGGCCAACCAACGTTATTCTCTTCTTCGCGACCAAATTTTAAGCTTAATTATGCGCTAATTACGTCTCCTACCTAAATTTTTATTAAAAATATATTGATACCATGAAAAAATACATTTATCTTAACTAATTGTCATATCTGTATGAACACCTATATATAATACGGGGTTATATAAGATGTTTATTTTTTAATGAGATTAACCACATGAGTTTATATGTAAAAATTTCCGATATCTATGAGTAAGATTTATGTAATAATTTGCAGTAAAATCAAAAAAGGAAAAAAAAAAGAAAAGAGAGAGAGAAAACCATCCAAAAGGAATTTATATGTAGTAACGCAACAACTTTCTCTGTGATAACATGTTAATTGTGGCAGAGACATGATAAAAATGCCGATATGTTTTAAGTCTTGCCACTGGAAAAAAAGAAACATTTTCAGTAGTTACATTCCAATCAACCGAAGTATAAAATGTACTTACACGAAATTGAAGATGTCCTTATTTTATGAAAAGATAATTAACATTAAAGAATCGGAAAACTTCTATCTATTCATGCATGATCAAAAACTAAGTAACATATTGTTTATTAAATTTCTATTGAGCATAAAAAATTTATTCAATTGAAAAGTATTATTACTTTTCTTTGCTTATATATATATTTTTCTCTTGAGGATATATTTTTAATATGTTTTTAAATATTAGAATATTCCCACGTATTCTTTTAGATTTTGGATGGCTAATGTTCATATTTACTATTTATTATCTTGAAAAATACATATTATAACACTGTATACTTTAATATTAAAAAGAATATACTATTTATATCATTATGATTATATAATATGTCAATTTTTCTATATGACCTTTCTAATATTTTCCGATCACATATAATCTCATTTAGGGTCATTAAATTGTAGGATATTTATTATGAAATAAATGATTTGACTACTCGTAAGACTCAAGAAAAATATCTGAGTTTGTATTTGCTTCGAAGGAATATTGTATGTTTTGACTGATTACATATTTTATATAATTATTAGGAAATCTCGAATTGTACAAAGAGCGGTGACACCGGTAACACCGGTGATACTACAGAAGGGACTCTTCAATGATGTAGTATCCATTAATAGACAACCAAACAATGCAAAACTCCAAAAAGTTTAAGGGATGTCTAAGTCTAAAGGCGAGTCTGAAAATATTTGAACACTTTTTAGACGTTTTTACGAAAATATTTAAACGTTTGCGTTGTCTAAGCAATACCTCTTTCATATCAATTGCTAGTATTCTATTAATAAATCTTACTAATAACAAAGCAACATAAAATAAAGGTTTTTAAATGTTATGGTACGAATGCAAATTACATTATTCTTCGTTTACCACGCATTGAAATTGACAAGTCGGTTTATAAATGACAATTAGAAAGAAGAATGTTTTTGTGGTAATAAAATGTATATCAACGTAAAACATATTTGTAATTACGTTCATAATTTATGCATTACAGCATAAAAATAAAGAGAGGCGATTTTCCTTTCTGAATTTTATAATGCAAGATATGTAATCAGTATTTTATCTTTACGCGCGACTCGTCGATTTTAGCTTTTTTAACAGAAATAAAAAAAAAGAGTTAGTAAAATAAAATGTGTATCGAATAAGCTATAAATTGTGAATATAATGCAGTATACTGTGTATAAACATTTTGTTAATGCTTTAGCAATTGTGAAGAAATTAGATTAAGTTAATGTATTTATCTTTGAGTTCTTATTTATATAAAATGCGAATAACATATTGTATATACACACACCTATGTATAGGAAAGGAATTATACTACAGATTATTGTATGTATGATTATAGAAAATAAATGATTTTGCACATGGTATAAATTTTTTTGAATGAGAAAAAATTTGACGATTGTTGATATTTATATTCTATTATTATGTATTAATTTTTTTTTTATTTAACATACATTAATCGATCTTGATTCAATACTTTCACTGACTGATTCCTGTAAAACTTCACATAGATTCAAATATTTGTTTTCTGAGTAATTACTGAGCAATTGGTCCAGGCTTTGTTTTAATTCGATAAAAGTAGGTCTACTTTGCGGCCTCAGATTCCAACATGAGTACATAATATTGTATCTGAATTAAATAAAGCAAAATTGAGAATTTATATATTTAAGAAATATAAATCTACTAGAAAAATATCACGATATAACATACAATTCTCGACCACAGTTTGGTGGCCTTTCCATTCGGTATCCCGATTTTAGAAGTTGCAAAATTCTATTTGTGGGTGTACCAGGATATGGCATGGCACCTAAAGTAACTATTTCCCACAACAAAATGCCAAAGGCCCATCTATAATGCAAGTTTTATTGTAATAAAATAAATAAATGCCATAGTGTATATAGTCCAAGTAAAATACTTACACGTCACTGTAAGTAGTATATATTTGATGCGTTAAAGCCTCGATTGCCATCCATTTTAAAGGCAGTTTACCATTTCCTTTTTTTCGATAAACATTTTCTTGATAGATATCGCGGCTGAGACCAAAATCTGAAATTTTCACCACTCTATCTGATCGCACTAATACATTACGAGCAGCCAAATCACGATGCACTATCCGATTAGAAGACAAAAATTCCTAAAAACAATTTCTATTATATTTTGATTTGCAAAAAAACAAATTAAAAAAAAAATTTTGTATTATAATTTTAACAATAAATCGCATAACATCATTGAAACACATATATAGATTGTTAATATTGATATTTAATATCGAACTTACCATTCCTGTAGCAACTTGTCTAGCAAAATTTAATAAATCGGCGGAAGTGACATCTTCTGTATATTTTATTACATCTACAAAGACATTAGTATAAAACATAAGAGTTATATTATTTATATTATATTTCATTTAAAAAGTTATTTATGTGTGATATTTACCTTGTTGAATATCATATAAGCGATTCGCGATTATGCGCGTGTTGTTATAATATGATCCAGTTTTTCCTGCATAATAAAAAAAGATTTCATAGAATAAAACCTTTAAAATTAATATTTTCATATAATTTATAACATATCAGTTTAAGTATATCTGTTTAAGTGTGCTGGAACCTTGATCTGCGTTTTCATTAGCAAAGGATATCGGATCGAATTTTAAATGCGTCCTGCGCTCGAATACGGCATTCATTAAATTCTGCCAAATCTGGAGGAAAAATTTAATATTAGAATAATAAAATATGTACGACTTTTCTTCTATGCAAATAAATAACAAATCAAAAGCAATTGCTTATTCTGAAGAAAATTAACGCATCCATTTTAGAGCTTACCGTTCTTAAATACGTTTGAAGATCTCCCTTGCTGCAATATTCCACTATTAGTAAAGGTTTATTGTACAAAGTGCAGTATCCGATTAAAGATACTATGTTCGGATGCTGACCAGCGGACTTCATCATTGAAATTTCTTGATGAAAATTTTTTATATCCTCTACCATTGGATTATCTGTGCAGTGGAATAAAATTGCATTTACTTATATTCCGTATAATCTATCGTCATTTACTTCTGTTCGTTTGTATGTCCCTTTATACCTTTCATCATTTTAACAGCCACATCTGTGATCGAACCGAATTCATCTTGCAATGAAGCAAGTCTGACAATACCATGCGCTCCACTGCCTAATACACCCTTAAGTTTCAACTGTTGCGGATTAAGTTGAAATTTATCATGCGGCAATAGAGTATTCTCGATCGCGTAATCTCGCTTTAAACGTTTCTTTAAGGAATCTGAAGAATCCTGTTAAGTGAAAAATCTTTAAAGTCTAACTAGAAAATTATTTTGTAAATTTTTATTAATATTCAGTGAAAATTTAAATCTTTTAATATTAAACTGATATAATTGACAACAAAATAATTGTTGTATGTAACATTTTTTTTAAAAAAGGAATGCGAATATGATTGTATAATAGAATTCAACTATCTTATCGGCGAATAAATATTATAGCAATCATGATTTATTGATAAACTTACCTCAAAATGCATATATTCCATATTGGTCTTTTTATTCTTCTTCTTACGATACTGTATAAAAATTACCACAAACACCACAGTAATAATCGCTAATGTCGGCAATATTATGATAACCTCGCGATAAAATAATTCTACAACTATTATCACAGAATGTGTTTTATTCGAATGTAACGTTCATTAAATATGATCGATTAAAGTGATTATTGTACACTTTACCTGCTGTTTCATCGATGCTCCTTGATATAGTTGATTGTAAACTTACACCGCCTGACGATTCCGCCACAATACTGATTTCGTACTGCGGCCCTACGTCGACATTCAGAAAAGAAGCTTCGACTGCATCCTATAAAAAAAATTAAAATTTGTGATGTACAATTTTTTTACAGTTGTTAGAATTATTTCTACAATAGCACTAACTCCAGATACAACCAATAGTTGCGGTTCGAATTGAAACGAGTCAAATTGTAACGTATAATTGTCTGGTTTTAGGATAGGTTTATCCCATCTAACTACAATGTCATATAATCCTTCGCGCTTTCGGATATGCTCCGCTCGCAAACCCTTCACTTTTTCGGGAGCTGTAATAAGAAAAAAACATGTAAATCAGTTTAGATTCAAAGATTCGAAATATGAGTTCATTTTTCTTCGAGATTATTTCGATAATTCACCACAGACGCTTAAATTGTGATGAACTTCCAAGCACGATGGTGTGAGAAAAGTAAATGTCGTTGCATTGCTAATTTTGGAAAAGTCATCATTAGCCGACTGGATTGATACAGTGTTGTTTTGATCATATCGTAAAGATTTAAGCAAAAAGTGGAAACCTGAAAACTGAAAAGATACATGGATAATAATTTGATAAGAGCGAAGTAAATATCGATATCAGTGTAAACTTTCTCACCTCAATCTCAAGGGGTTTTAAATTGAAATTGATCAAATTATGTTCTCCTGACCAAAGCAATATATTGTAATTGCAGCTTCGATCTAAAACATATATATATATGTATAATATATTTACACATAAACATAATAATAAAATATATTTATTAGATGTACATCGATATTACCTTCAACGGGTTCAAAAATAATTTCCGCTTGTAGCTTGTACGGATTTTTTCTTTCTCTTTCGATCTTTATAAGCGAAATGTATTCAACTTGTTGTGGTTGATAATCAGCTGTAAATATTAATTTTAATTAATTCTAAAAGAAAATGCACAAGCTTAATTTCGAATATATAGCATTTACGCAGTTGAATTACATGTACAACAATGTTACATCAAATCGAGAAATTTAAACTCAATGATACCTGCATAAGTTGAAAACCAATTCGACGTTTCGGCTAATGAAATTCCATGTTGTGTTATTCTATGCGAACGATAACGATAATGTGCACCTGCTGTTAAGTTCGAAAATGTTGCTAATCCACTATTGCTCTACGAAAAAAATCTATTTTGTAAAGAGAGACAAGATGCATGAATGCTTCGTAATTTGGAGAAATTTTTCCGATTGATTAAAACAACATAATATGAACGGGAGGAAATATTCGAACATAAAAATATTATTTTTTTATGTAAATAAAACTTGTAATGTATTAAGTAATCAATTCTATTTAAAAAATATAAAACATTTACCACTGTTGCTGAACCCCAAGTATCAGGAGAGATACTTTGTTCAATAACATAGATTCCAGGATTATGTTTAATTATTAGAACATTCATTCCTCTGCAGTGTAAAGTAATATTTGCGCCAGCTTCTTCGTTTACTTTCGGATAAGCTATCGTAAAATAATTCTGATATAATATTTACATTTGTATTTTAAATGCATGATTATTAGTTGCGCTATAATCCTGTTATATTGATTAACTCACGCTCAAATCCGTCCGTAAATCGTGGACAATTATTTCGGCATAATTCCTGAAAGATAAATAATTCATGCGATTCGTAACAACTAGACGTGATCATACCCGTTATGCAGTAATATATAAAAATATTATTTTCTAGTTTTGAGTATCGCATTTTGGATGTTATGGAATATTTATTAAGCGACCGATTCAAGATCGTGCTGCAATAACAATAAGTAACGACGCAACGAGATTGCTTCTGCTACTGGCAAATATTCAGCGATGTATTTTTGAACTCGAATCTACATGATCTCACACACACCCCCTTACTTTAATGATACCTAAAATATACCCGCTGAGGATAATAGCCAGTTGAATTCTCATTTGCATCGTACTTAAAAGTGTGATTTACACTAATGCAGCAGCCGCATTAATATACCTTAAGTAAGTTTGGATGGAATAAGTGGGATTAAAAACACAGGATGTTGCCTGATCAAATTACAGAATTCTGTTGGAAACGTTTTAATGTGTAATTATGCAATAGATAGCGTCTGCTTTTTTTTGTATACGATATATGTACATACGCACATGCGACTCGGTATTACTATTCGATTTTGTCGTTTACTTGACCATCAGCATCAGTGAATGATAACGATATCATTCGAATGCAAATCGAAACTTTTGTGGAGTATCTCGTATACGTTTATATATGATTCGGTAAGCGCGAGAAAAAAATGCGTAAACGCTGCATCAATTTGACGTGCGTTTAAAACGATCTACGCACGATTTGACGCAGCATCATCAGATGTGCATTCCTTCATTAGAAATAACATCGTATAAATTATTTCCCGCGCTAATATTGAATAGTGATTTGCATTATTAACTTTTATCGTTAAAATGTACGCAAAAAGAAAACTTTCTTAATAGTTGAAAGATTTTATATAATCTACTTTGTAAGTATGACCTTCTACAGCTGCAAAGGAAATGCGAAAAAGGAGATAAACATGTTTAAAACAACTTCATGCATTATGCAGTTTACTGTCTGGTGTTTTAATACTTTTTCCTTTTGATATATAATTCAATATATATTTACGCGTTCCATTTTTTAACTTGAAACTACTACATTGTTGTAATCGATACATTAATATGAAATTGTTCAAGAAATATCGCAAATGAATGTATTTCACGTTGTTGAGAATTTTATTTTTTTTTTAAATCTAACTGTTGAAAGCGATAAGTATGTAACATCGCTTTTGCAGTCGAACGGAGTACGATATGTAGCTACTTTTCAGTTATATTGACACAGGTGTTAAAACGAAATTCTAAAATATGTCCAGTATTGTTGAACATATGTTTATTTCATATCTGTAGAACGCAAACACAGGTTCGATATAGATAAATTCCTAGAGAATCGTCGAAAATTCGGATAATCTTAAAAAAAAAAAAAAAAACGAAGAACTTGATTTATTAAATATATCTTCAAAATGAGAGCGTAAAAAATCAGTTAGTAAGCAGAAAGTGTACTCAAAGACTCAGTTATTAACACACACATTGCAAATGTTTTATATTAGCACTTCTATCTTGATATCACAACGCACATATGGAATTTTATGTCTGCTATCACAGAATTTTTTCCTTTGTAAAGCTATCTTCTGATATATAAAATTGTGTATAATATATTGCATTTGTCCAAACGTTTCCTCCAAACTAATATTGTATTGAAAATAAACAAAAGTTAATTAAAAAAAATGTTACAATTAACGAAATTACAAATTACATATGAAATGAATTATCGAAACAAAATCTAGATACAAGATTATGCTAATCAATTAATTTTATTATTTATTTTAGCCTGTTTAATTGAATTAAATGTATATTTGATCTAACTTACATTTTGGCATAGCGTTAGACATTTAGCAACATCCAAAGCTTCTTGGAAGATAAATCCGTCAATAGTAATTGCACATAAAAATAATGAAAATATCGACAACATTCCGTCGACTCTGTTCGCAGATGTATGCATCATCCATTTAAAATAGAGAAACATTTGAACTTTTAAAGATGATAACGCAAATTATTCTCTCTCATCTTGTTTATCTATTATTTTCTTCATTTTCAATTGATTGCATGCTGCAAATCATGTAACTCAAATTTAATGTCGATAACTGATCTATTTGAAGTTTAAAAAATGTTCACGCATCAGAGATAACACAAGATAAGCACAAATATGTGTAAGCACTTTCTCACGGTATTATTATTCCACGAAATTGCGTTAAAATTTACAGATTAAAATGTTTAATTTTTAAAACATGCATACTTTATAAAATCAGATTGCATTAAAATGTACAAATGGCATATATTTAAGTTGAACACTTCTTCATTAATGTCATAGAAATAACGTAACTGCGAAGCTTACGAACATGACGCAAATGAATCCGCATTTGAAGAAGTTCAAGTGTTGTTTCAATACATTACGGCGGCTCCCTACCACGTATGACTACATCTTGTATGTTAATAAAAGGTGGGATTTTCTCCCACTTTTTCCTCTTTTCCTATATTCCATTCTTTGTTATTTTTAAGAAAAATGACTTCAAGCTTAAGTTATAATTTATGCAAAATTTTTAACTTCGTATTCGTAAAATCACATTTGAGAAAACATACAGCTTCTGTATTAGATATAGTATAAATATTAATTAAAACCCGATTGCGTTGCATTAAGTAAATGTTTGTAATCATGTTTCAGTTTTTTAGGCATCCAACCTGAAATATGATAATTCAATGACATGAAAAATGTATTGCTTGAGACATATTGTAAAGTAGTAATTAAAACTGATTGATGAGTTTGCATTGCTATTTATAAGACTCAGACATACATTCATCGCATGAGAACTTCTGAAAAAGTCGTAATTCTATTTACATGACATTATTCTTAAAGTGAATTTTTCATTTGTTCATAGTTCTGGAATAAAATTTTTAGAAGAAAAACAAACCTATAAATAAAAGTATGAAGTTTATTTTTTAGTAGTTTAACATGACAAAAATTGCATAATTATCTGTCATGCAATATGTAATAAAATGTCCAAGTTCTGAAGTGGCATTTTTACTGTATAATGATCAACGTAGGAAGAACATACACATCATAATCAATTCAATAACATAGGTTATGTATTAGATAAACTTTTGTATAACAAATTCTCCATTGCTTATTTCGAATAATTCGCATTTATGTAGTGAAAGAGAAATACTAAGAAAAATAGTGCAACCCCCAGGATGTTGCAGAATATTGCTAATTGTACGTCTGTGATCATCTGGAAAAACAAATGGTCCATTTTAGCTTTCAATATCTTATCTTAGATTGTGTGAGTTTATGTACATAAACATGTATGTACATATATGTTTGACATTGTTATAATATATTCAAACATTATATATCAAATAACACAATTTTACAAAAGATAATTTAATATTTGCCAAATTTAATCACCTTGAAACTGCTGGGTTGCCGCTTTACGGTAGTTTTTCAAAGATTTCTTTGCTATAAAAGATGAAGAGCAATAATGCGTCCGAGCTTATTTAGGATTTTGATCGTCTCAATGCGTGTACAAATGTCAATGGTGTGCTTGCAATGACACGTGTACTACCCAATGCTATTTGACTTTTACACCGTATAAACGAACGCCGCCATTGTCATATTGTATGCTCTCAACAAGAAACTCAAACCTCCGCTAGATGGGATTAAAATCTTCACTAAGAAGGTTTGAGTCTTCACTACGTAAGGTTTGAATCTTTACTAAGTAGGTTTGAGTCTTTACTAATTGACGGACTTTTGATCACGCAGATTACCTCAAAATAGCTTATTTTTAATTTATCCCTGACGAATTTGACGTTAGATTTCTATTTCATGTTTCTTACTATTTTGGAATAAAACGCAAAATGTAACCAGAAAATCATCGTTAAAACAAACAACTTATACTATTGTATTTTAATTATTTTAATCATTTCTTTATGTGTTTCAACTTCTTTTATAAAATTTTTGCGTAAAAATGTGTTGTGTAAAAATATAATAAATACTTTTTATGTTAATACCTTTACATATAATTTAAAATTCACAACAACTTTGGTTGTCGCTTTATAGTTGAAAGATCCAATATCTTGCTGGGACAAGTGGTTCCGGGTGTTTGTACAAAAGGGAATCGATGTACTGCAGGATTATTTTTTCCTATCAGCGGTTTAAAATCGCGTTTAGGTACCGTTTCCTCATATATCAAATTATCTACAATATTAATATATTTTTAATTTTAATAAATTAATATTTATATTACATATTACATAATAATTGTGCCAAAGACATATTTGCTATATTTTATAATTATAGCATTTGATCCATTCTTTGGCACTTACCCTCTGCTTGTACGTTATTCTTTCCTGGAAGAAGTTGATATCTCTCTAAATAACGCATCGTAGCAAGTGACATATTAGTTCCTTGCATATTGCTGACCATAAGATGTTTCAACGAAGACGATTCTTGTTTATGTAATGCTATATCAGCTAATTGCTCGTCACTTAAATATTTTAACGCCAACGCTCTCATATGCATACTCGTATTTGTTTCGTTTACACTAGTGGTAGTAGTATGTATCATATTTGCTTGACGATCCAAGCGCGGATAAAAAGACGAGTCAAAATCCATTCTGTAAAAAAAATAAAATAGTATTATAGATACAATAATATAGCAAATACAAAAAAAATGTAGTTGTTCTATGTATTACAGTAAAAATAACATGCTCAAGTGCACAGAGTTAGTTATTTATATTAAATAATATTAATCTGCTTTGGATATTAATTTATCATATTTTTGTTTTTAATTAATAATTATTCTAAATTAATAAATCAATTTATAAGTTAATTTATAATAATTAACGCGTTTATTCTTGTTATTTGTTAATAATGCTTAAATTTGAATTTGCAAGTTTAATTAAAAATAAAAATTAATACAAATAAAAGTAGATACATACGTTTTGTTATTACCATTCGACTCTCTATGTTCATTGTCAGTTAGACTAATCCCAAGCCTCCGAAGTTGTTCTAAAGTAGCTGCTTTAACAGTGTTTAATGCCGTTCTAGTTTCCGTATCATTTTCTTGTTCGACTCTGCGAGCTACTTTCACGTCATCGTAATCTTTATTTTCTATAACGCTAGAATTTTGTAAAATTTCATTAACTTGGCCCAAAACATTGTTGTAAAAAGTCCAGCCTATTTTTGAAGTACGTTTCTGTTTATCACTTTCGTCATCGCTTGTATACTCCTGCATCTCAACATGAATACTTGGTTCTGGAGTTGGTGGTCTCTCAAACACCTTGAGATCATCTCCATTCAATATCATGCTATCACCCATGTCTTTAGTTTGCTCAGCATTATCACAATGTTCTTTAATTCTATGATTTTGATAGTAATCTGTCGCAGGTAAATGGATGTTGCGTAAAGGATGTTTATTAGTATTCATTTTGTCCGTGCTTTTTTCTCCATTTATTGTAGTGTAATCATTTACATCGCTGATAAGTGCTTTACTATAATTTGCGCTCTCAGCCGGACTATAATTAACGTTCATAGATGCGCTCAGCATTTTATTTGAATTTTGTATTTGTTCATCTATATTACTATTTTCTCCTATGAACATTCCCTCCTGCATTTTTCTCCTATTTAAATCTGTAGCAAGACACTGATACATTTTCGAAGATTCTAAAGTATTGGCCACATTAAACGAATCCGATTGCCTTGGAGTATGTCTCTCTGAATCTTTCACATAGGAACTTGCATTAAAATTACTACTTTGCTGTTGACTGGATGACAAATAACTTTCCGAATCTTCAACTATGTTTTCCAATAGTGCTGCCCCAGGTTTGCACGTAAATGTGTTTTTGTATCTTTGAACAGATTCCGTCGTATCGTGTGCATTTATGGCATTTCTCCTATTAATATTGTTATTTTCTCTGTGAACTTCCTTTTTCTCATTTCTACCAGAATCTATTAGAAATGGACTGTTTTGCACGGTAAACTCAAAACTTGTCATAACACCAATCGAAACCTTTTGTTCCACAAACGTCTTTTTTGATTGCTGCTCCAATAGTTTATTATTTTCACTAAAACTTTCTAGGTCTTTCTTCTCTACAACAGATGCATTCTGTGAACCTGTATTTTTCTTTGTACCTTGATTTTGAGATTGTGCGATGGAAGAACTAAAAGCAGTGTCATAACAATTTATCGGTGGATATCTAAATACCTGATTTGCAAGAGATTGTGAACATGGACATGTTGATTTGTTTCTATAATTTTCTTCTTGTATTCTTACTAGTCTATCCACTTGAAGCTGTAAAGTTTTAATCTGTTCATTTTGGCTATTTACAAGCTGCAATAAAGTTTTTACTGTTTCATTATTATCTACATTGTAATTTGAATAGTTAGGTGCATGACACTGTTGATGTGCAGTATGTGGTATTTGTACATGTTCAGCTTTTTTCAAAGTATCAGGTATTGTTTCGCTAGGCACTCTTGTAGTACAATCAGGTACACTATACATTGCTCTTTGTAGAGAGTTACAAGGCAAGTGTTTCTTGTTAGAAAGTGATAATTGAGCCTCATCATAAGAATCATTCACATTAGGACATCTAAATTTCACACTTTTCTCACAAATTTTATCATTAGCTCTTGCATTTATTATTCTTTTTTCCAGATCAGAAATTTTATCTTGCCTTTGCTGTTTTTGTATAGATACATCTTGTAAACATGGCTGTGGTGTACGATTGTTGCTGTAAGTATTTTTACAAGATGATGAAATAGACGTTGTAGGATTAATCTGTTTGGAATAATTCTGTTCCCTCCATGCTGCATAAGAATTAGAATTGCTTAAAATAGGTGACGTAGAAGTGGTGTGCCTTACAGTATTATCAGGGAGTTGTATTATTGGTTTGAGTAATCTTGCTGGTGATGAATTACTGCTTCTATCATTTGGATTTTGTGCTGTAGGTTTCTCAAATATTAAAGATATTTCTGGCACAGTGGGTATTGCAAAACTCTGTAAATTGTCCAGAATTATTTTTCTAATTTTTTAAAATTATACATAAGACACATGAACAATAAAATATAAAATAAAACTTACGTCAAGTTTTGCTACAGGTTTTGGTGTACTTCTTGGTTCAAATTCATCTTCGTCACCAAATTGAAAATGCATGTTAAAAAATGAAGAATGTTTGCTATAATGTTTATATGCAGAATATTTACTCTAAAATACGTTGTTTAAATTGAGATATTAGATATTTATATTTTTACGATATTTTGGACAATGTAATTTAACTTTGTACGAATTTAGCTCTTATGTCGGACTAATAAACGTTTACTATTGACGATGCAATGATCGAATCTGTTTTTTTTTTCTTTCTTTTTTTTTATTGTGCGTTTAACGTGCCGTCAACCATATATTTAATTGGTTTTTTTGACTGGTTTTCTATATTGTCCTTGTTTGGGTCCTTCTGACCTTATGCTGTCTTGCACGTAGCTTCTAAATGTTTGTTTAAAACCGAATCCGTTTTTATGCAATGTTGAGGTTACATCGACGGATTCGAGCGTCTGACATTCAAACTGTTTTGAAACCGGCAAAAAGCGTGGTCACTTCAGGCATCCAACCAGTGATGCGATATTTCCCACAGCGGTCCCGGCTCCGCTGCCTCACACAACCTTACAGAAGCGCTACGTCACGTATCCGTGTGAGCTCGGCCGTTCAACCAATGGAAGAGAGCGAACGCTCCCTTCCACCGAGCCGACACAACAGACGATAAATGCATGCTACTTGCATGTTAAAAGCAAGCGTTTCTGATTCAGAAAAGAAATTCTGAGGCGAGTGGCTGGAATATTAGAGATCACCTGTTCGAAACCTGCTTCGTGCAACTTTTTTTCTTTTTTCCACATTTGTTTCTAACATAGTAATTATTAGATAATATTTTTTG